GTTTACTTAACCTAGCCACAGAGTAAAGAGTAAGGACTTCAGTTTCTTTACTCATGTGACCTAGCTACAGGAGAGTTGTTACCAAGCACAGTCCTACGAAATGGAGGGGCAAGGGGAAGAATGGGACCACGCGGGAGTGTCCTGGGTACCCTAAATTTAAAGTATTATATATATAATGAATGTTACAGATATGACCCTGTAAAGCTAAATAAAAGTAATAGGAATAACAAAAGCTGTATAAACGATAACTTAAAAAAAAATGATTAAAGAAAGAGACAGACTGAAACTAAAACGACTGAACTATACTAAATACAGAAATAAGTGTAACAAAGCCATATTTAAATGTAATGTTGAGTATGATAAGCAGAGTGTATTGGATTGTAATAATAATATTAAGAAAATATTGGATAAGATAAATAATTTATTGAGAAAGAATAGACAATCTTAAGACAGTTTAATACTTTCAAATATGGAAGGGCAAGGTAGTATAAAGGAGATATAAGTCCGCTACTAGTTTTACTAGCGAAATAGATAAAATAAAACATGTATGCACTGACAAAAACAAGCCACGTGGTAGCGATCTTGTGCGGATGTCAGACTTGAAATTAGTTGTGAATAAAGTCAGTCCCATATTAGCTAAGTTAGTTAAATTATCTGTTAGACTGCATAAATTTCCATCAAAATTAAAAGAAACCATCATTCGTCCAATCCATAAAAAGGTGACCGTAAAGTTTTTACTAACTATAGACCTATAGCTATTTTATCTAGTATTGACAAAATTATTGAAAAATGTTTATTAAATCAAATGGGAAGTTATCTACAAACGAATAAACTATTAAATGAATGCCAATATGGCTTCCAAAAGAGTAAAAGTACAAATACACTGTTATCAAAATTTACAGATGAGATTAATTCATATTTAGAAGTTAAAAAATTTGTAGTATTAGTTTTTTATTATTTTAAAAAAGCCTTCGATACCTTAGAAACTGACACACTTTTGAATGGAATGGACCAATGTGGTGTGGGGCAACCGTTAAACCAATGGTTCCGCGATTACCTAACGGTGCGTTATTTTCGTGTGAAGGTAGGTAGGACACGTTCAGCGAGGAGACCGATGTCGAATGTGGAGTTCCACAGGGATCAGGGACTGGGCCAATCTGCTACTTATTACACGTAAATAGTCTATGTGGAGTGCTCCACCAATGCTCGGCTTATATGTTCGCGGATGATTTATGTACATTACGCGCCGGGACCGATCTCGCTGAGACGTGTTGCCAAGTGCAGCATGATATGGATGCGGTCGTTGGGTGGTCGCACGACAATGGTATCATTTCGAATTCAGAAAAAACTAAATTACTTATCATACACTCCCCTTACTTAAAGCCTTTAAATTCATCTCCGTTTATGTATACTCATAGTTAATCTTGCATTCATGATAACCTATTTAATTGTAAATGTCCTATTGAAAGGGTAGATCGCGTGACGTATCTTGGTGTTGTTGTGGATTCAGTATTTTTTTTTATAGGATAGGGTGACAAACGAGCACACAGTCCACCTGATGGTAAGTGGTTGCTGTGGCCCATAGACATCTACATTTTTCCTCGTTTGCGAATTAAAATGCAGATACGTTGTCACCCGTGAGGACTAAGATCGAATGCCTCTTTTCCAGTAGAAAGGGTCTCCGGTTCTCTACACTCACCATACGAAACACAGCAGCATGAAGCTGCTATTTGACGCTGGTATTATGTGAGAGCGTGGTCCTTCCCCGATCAAGCCGACCTATTCGTGCTACAACTATACTACTAATATAGCTGCAGCATGGCTCTACCACGTAAAAAAATTCAGTATTAAATACAGTATTTTCATGGTCATGTCATGTGGATTTCATATGCAATAAACTAAGATTTCTTCTGAGTAAATTCTACTACTTAAGTTTTAAAGTACCAATTACTACATTCAAAACACTGTATTTCTCACTTATAGATTTTATTTTCAGTTATGCTCTTGACAGTTATGGTCTTACATTCAAAAGTAATATTGACAAGCTGGAAGCTCTTCAGATTAGATTTTTAAAATTACTCTCAATTATTTAAAATTTGTAAGATTCTACCGGTTAGTTTAAAACATAAATATCTACTGGCTATAAATAACCATGCCTGTCAAAAGCTAAACTTGACGATTGTAAAACAGAATCAAGGTACCCGGTCGATGTCCGAGGCTAAGTTCGAACTACCTAGAATAAAAAACTACTTTGGAGATAGAACATTAAAGAAACAAATACCGTATATTCTCAATAGTCTGCCAAAAGATATTCGACGCGAGACTAAGAAAAATGTATTTAAAAAGATGGTTTATAGACACTTTCTATCATTATGTAATTAAGGAAAAGAAATTGTACTATAGCTATCCTTTAAGTATTATTGTGAGACTGGATTCCACAGACAAACTGTGTAAACAGTTTTGTGGGAATATGTTTTACTGTACGGTTGTGTCGATTTGTTTAGTAAAATAAAGAAAAAAAGTGAGATCCACAAAATGGCGGAATAAATTTAAAATTATTGAATTCCTATTTCTTAATTTTACAACTTTCTCTATTTAATTGCTTACTGTAGTACATGAATCCTAAGTTACTTAAAGTTAGTGTACATGAATATGACGGTATTACACCACACATGCAAAATAGAATTATCTTACTTATTTTAGTGATTATATTCGCTTGACAGTTTCTTACGTGCAATTATGAGGCGCATCTCTAGTAATAAAAAAAATACTGCTAGTTGCATAATATGTAACTGCGCACACAAGTGAAATCAATGACACTTATAATTTTATTAGAAAAAAAAAACTAAATTAGGCGAGATATTTTTAAGTTAATGTTAAAAATATTAAAAACAAATTCATTGTTATTTTCTCATAGTTAAAAATGACCAGATGGAAGTTAGCGTAGAACATTATTTTTTTAACTAAACTGTATGCCAATTAATTGCTCCATAAATGCTCCAGCAGAATCCGAAATTGCTCCACCTCTATTGTTATTAGTTAATTTATAATTAATTTAAAAAAAATTTAAGTATCGAAAATTTAATTTTGTTGTAAAATATAAAATATCTGCATTTTAAAATTAAACTGTATGCCAATTAATTGCTCCTTAAATGCTCCAGCAGAATCTGAAATTGCTCCACCTCTATTGTTATTAGTTAATTTAAAATAATTTTTAAAAAGTTTAAGTATTGAAAATTAAACTTTGCTATAAAATATAAAATATCTACTTTTTAAAATTAAACCGTATGTCAATTAATTGCTCCTTAAATGCTCCACCTCTATTGATTTTTTATATTTTATAGCAAAATTAAATTTTGGATACTTAAATTATTTAAAAATTAATTATAAATTAACTAATAACAATAGAGGTGGATGAATTTCAGATTCTGCTGGAGCATTTAAGGATCAATGAATTGACATATAGTTTAATTTTAAAAATAAGATATTTTATATTTTATAGCAAAATTATATTTTCGATACTTAATTTTTTTTAATTAATTATAAATTAACTAATAACAATAGAGGTGGAGCAATTTCGGATTCTGCTGGAGCATTTAAAGAGCAATTGATTGGCATACAATTTAATTTAAAAAAAGTAGATATTTTATATTTTATAGCAAAATTAAATTTTCGATACTTAAGTTTTTTAAAAATTAATTTTAAATTAACTAATAACAATAGAGGTGGAGCAATTTCAGATTCTGGTGGAGCATTTAAGGAGCAATTAATTGGCATACAGTTTAGTTAAGAAAAATAATGTTCTACGCTAACTTCCATCTGGTTTAAAAATGTTTGCGTAATCTTGCAAACGTACGCAAGTTACGTTTTAGTGACCTGTCAACCTGTCACATACATCATGCTATAACGCAAAGACTGTAGTAAAAGTAAATATATGAATATTTCGCAACTCAAACTACATTAATTAAAGAAAAAAAATGTCTTTAGGTTCAAGTTAGTTTATTTATAAGAATAAAGGAGTTGAATTTTTATAATTAAAAACTAAAAAATCAGGATATACCAAGCTTTTAATGATTTCTTTTTCAATATTGATGATCAATGATCCTGTTTTCACATGATGTTCCTTATAAAAAGAGGTGAAATATTTGTTACCCAATAGAAACATTAATTATGAGTATCACATTATTGTTGGGAGGTCTCTAGAAAACTTAGAAAAATATAGGTGGTAAGTAGATCTACTAACTTTTCAAAGTAGGATTGGTAGGAAACTACCAACTTCTGAAATTATATCTACCTGAGACATACTTCGAGTTGGTATTACCATAGATAAATAAATATGTAGGGTAACACTGATGACTATCTTTGCGAACATGTGGAGAATTCCCCAAATTGCTGGGAATTTAAAGTTGGTTGGGGATTTTATGGGATTGGTATTATGCGGGAAAATGCGTAGATTTTGAAAAACGATAGCCCGGGCCAAGTCAGAACCTTTTATCACGAAATCTAAATATTTATCTTAACATTTTTGTTTGATTACTTATGAATATCGAATGACTCAATTTTTTTAATTATCTTCATTGCACTAAATTTAATTTTCCGATTTATTTCGGCAACTTTTGTTTATCATTTAATCCTTTTCATTTCTTTATTTTTAAATTAAAAAAGTCACTTAAATAATCTTATAAAATTAGTTGAAAATTATTTCATTTCTTAAAAAAAAATTGAGGGGAATTTGTGGGGAATCTGATGAAGTTTTGTCCTTAAATTGGGGAATTTGACATGGATTTTCGGGGAATTTCATAAATTGGTGTTGGCGACGCTGCTAATGGCAACTGCTATTGATTTTTGGCCTAAAGGTCTAGATACCAGGCCATAAACTCCAAAAAAAAAACTGCTATTGATTTAAATTGTGTTTTGATTTTGTTTGCTGAAACTGAAGTAGGTAATTTATTACATGTTAGTGATTTAAATAACAAAAATATAAATATTTAAACCCAAATATGGAAGAGGCTGCAAGAGACTACCTAACTTACGCCAGACAACTATCTACAAACGGGTGCTATAGTAAAGCTTTTGATTTATATATTTTAGCATTTGATAAAAATCCTCAACTGAAGAATCTCTTTGAACCAGAGTTCCAGATTGTACTAATGAGGCTTAACGATATTTTGGCAGCAGCTGGAAAAATAGAGGACATATTTACCAATTTCGGTCGGGCTATTAAAACATTTCCGGATAATATTTACCTGTTGAATGAGATCGGTAAATATCTCTACAAGTTCGGTTATTATACTGAAGCGTGGTGCCACTTTCAGAAGGCTCTGAAGACAGATTCTGGTTTTGTCAATGCAGAAAAGAATTTAAATTCAGTGAAGAATTTATTGGTTGAAAGGTGGCATTTTCGTATGTTAAATGATAAAATTCGAAATGAAGCATATCGCGCTGCTATTCACGCAACTATCACACCAATCAAAGATAGTGTTATTGATGTTGGTACTGGAACGGGTTTACTGGCATTATATGCATATGAACGTAAACCAATGGTGATAACTGCTTGTGATGGCTCTGAGGTGATGACGAAGGTAGCTGAAGGCATTACACAAGACATGGGCATTAATGATATGATAATATTAAACAAGATGTCTACATCAATGAATTACAAGGATATAGGTGGTAAGCGTTCTTTGTTAATTACAGAAATGTTTGATGCTGGTTTGTTTGGTGAACACATCTTGCAAACATTGTCCCATGCTTGGGAATACTTATTGAGTAACACTGGCAGAGTAGTACCAAATAAGGCAGAGTTCTTTATTGCTGCGGCTAATTGTAACCATCTGCATTTAAAATACCAATTAGGAGATAATGCAAAAGCTCTTCTGAATATTCCAATGGTGAATGTTCACATATTGACTTATGACGAAACTTATGACTGTGAGGATGTCCATTTGTTCAAAGATATAAAATACATTACTGAACCACAGTCCCTTATAAAAGTAGATTTCAATGACTATGATGATATTCAAGACAAATTGTATAGATGTGAGCCATTCAGTGTTGAGTTTAATGCTTTAGAAGATGGAGAAATCAACACCATGATTGGATGGTTCAAATTATACTTGACTGAGAATATTACCATCACTACAGATCCCAGGGCAGATAACAGGTGTAATGCATGGCAACAAGCTGTGTTTTTTGATAATATACCAAAAAAAGTTAATAAGAATGAAACTATCATCTCACAATTTTTAATGAATTCTGGCAAGCTGACAATGCTACCAGATTGTAACAGTGATATAATGAGAATATCTCCAGAGACATTGAGATTTCTGAATGACTCTGACTATATGAAGATGATTACAGGGTGCATTGGCATGGCCTGTGTGTATCTTGGGCAAATGATAGACATGTCTGAAATGAGTATTGTTGATTTATGTCCATTCCCTGTTTTTGGAATGCATATGTTGAAAAGAGGAGCTCAATCTTTAGTTTGTTATGCCAAAACCTACAGTGATGAAGAATTCATAATCAGAGTCTTTAAAGACAATAACATTGATTTATCTAAGGTAAATGTATTAGTTGGAGATGATTGGACACAGGATACTTTCACAGATGAAAAATATCATGCCATTTTTTGTAACACATTTGAGCTTTGTGGAGAAATTGATTTGAGACAGAAGGATATAGCTCAGCACTTAAAAAATGCTCATTTGCTGCAAGGAGGTCTTTTTATGCCATCAAATATAACAATTATGTGTCAGCTTGTTGACTGCCACTGGCTAGATATAAATAATAGAGTTTATGATGAAAATGTGAGTAACTACAAAGTGGGAGCTTATCTTAATAAGTATCAAGTGTCACAGAACTTTTGCATTGACCTGTCACATTTAGAATACACCCCTATTACTGAGCCTACATCCTTAGGGAGTTACACAAGTGGCATAAGATCTGAAGTTGTGAACATACCTATAATTAATAATGGAGATGCAAATGCAATACTGTGCTGGTATAAAATTGAATTGATGGAAGACCTAGGAGATATATCTACAAATAGGTCAAACAGTTTTATAGATAATTTGGCATTTTTGGCTAATCCTAAGATTCATATGACTAGCGGTGAAGTTGCCAATGTTTTGCGTTGTGTAGATCCAGATGGAGCTTTTAAGCTAATGATTGATGTTGAAAGTGCTTAAGCATTTTTTAATTACAAAATATGAGAATGATGTTGTGCTATTGTTGTGGCAAGTTATGCAAAAGACAAGGGAAATCACTTCAAACAGATTAAAATATTTTCATCTGGAAAATATAAATCATTACTACACATTAATTATTTACTCTATTGTTATTAAAAGTTAAAGCATTATCCTTCAATGCCTGCATTATCTAGTCACATTGATGTAATTAATGTATTATTAAAGTATATTTATTTTACAAAAGTTAATTCAAAATCTCATAAACATAAGAATATGTTATATCATCTAAATATTCACACAGTTTTATTGAATGGAATGAATGAATACTGGTGAATCTATATCATCATGTCACTCTGTTTTAAATAATAGTACCCAGGTGACAGAATTTTCTCGGGGATAAAACTTATCTAGATAAACATTGAAAGTAATACATTAAATGCAAAATTTTATTAAAATTGTTAAAGCAGTTTCATATAAACTAATTAAATATACACAAGAATTGCTCATTTAAAGAAAGGGCTGCATATTAATTTACTCAGGTAAAACCTTTACATCTAACCACCTTTGGATTATGTTTTATTCCCAACTTTGACATTATTATCATCTTATTGAGTAAAATGCTGGTTATACATAGCTCAATTTTGGATAGTTAATTCATAGAAATTATTGATTAAAGTGTATATTTTAAGGCTGTGAAGCATGAATATGAACTGAAGGTCATATTGTATTTGGAGTGAAAATCAAAAAATACTTGTTAAGATAACCAGCTGAAGGGCAAATGAATTTCGTTAACAAGATGAACCTTATATTAATAACTTTGTTAGATATTGAGACGAACAAAGTATTTTGTTGGTTCTACTATTGCTTGAACCAGATTTTTTAAAAATAAGATCATTCTTTATTTATATAATCACTTTATTTGCTAATAATACCAGTATGGTCTTTATGGCATTAATGTATGTAAATGTGCTTTTTAATTATGAATGTTAGATAATTTTAACTATACCAATAAATTATACTCAGTGTCACTAAATTTTATGGTAGATATATTGATGTTTTAAATTGTAATACAGTATTTTCATTCTATATACCTATGTAGTAGATTTTTTGTAATGTTTGTATGTGATATTCATGTACATGTTCGAAAAATTAATATAGTACCTACCTACATTATCATTGATGAGTTTTTGTTTATTAATATACACACCTATCTTAGGCGACTAGTTTATATAACCTATATAGCTGACATTCTTCAGAAAAATATTATCAATAAAATCTACACTTTAAATGGACCATTTTTAAGAAGCGTCATTTAATCTAATCCTAAACTTCTACTTCATAAAAACTAGTTGTGCATATTATCTTATGGATTGAAATGGAGTTTTTTTTAACACAATTGTATTTAAAGCACGTGTGGTGTAGTGATAGCGTAAGGAAATGCTGTGCGCTACTCCGTCCTGTGGATATCATGTCTTTAGAGACAACTTCAAGAAATATCAGGTCTTTCATAGCCTAGGCCTATTCGTTGTAGTCCTTAGGAGTGACAACGCACCTGAATTTTGATTCTTAATTGAGGATAGATGTACTTGTCTATGGACCACTGTATCTACCAAACATGTGGAACCAACGGTTGGATTGTGTGCTTGTTTTTTTACACTGATTACCATAAAATTACCTTCACATTGTGAGCCTTTACGCGGTAGAGCCACGCTGCAGCTACATTATGGTTGTAGCACAAATGGATCGACTCGACCGGGGAGCAACCACGCTCTCACAGAATATCAGCGTAAAATAGCAGCTCAATGCTGCTGCATTTCGTATGGTGAATGTAGAGAACCTGCGACCCTTGTTAATGGAAATGAGGAATTCCATCTTAGTGACAAAGCATCTGCATTTCGATTCTTAATCGAGGATAGATGTAGGTGACTATGGGCAGGCCTCCGTCACTCGCTCAAGACCCTGCGTTATATGCCTACCCTTTTGCGTATCGCCCACGATACAACCGACATTGGGCTGCCGCACGCCCGCCTGAGCGCTTGCACCGTACACGTTTCCCGCGCTTACTCGTCGAAATGCCGAAACCACGTAATTATTGTACAGTGGATGGGTGTCAGAGTCAAAAAACAATTGAAAAATTGTCTTTTTTTTCTTAACTATAAGATTACATCGAAACAAAGCATAACAAGTTCTGTAATTTATAAATTGAGTGACAACCATTTTCAACTATAAAATTTAATAACCTAGAATTCAAATTGAAGGAAAAAAATGTATAAATCATTTTATAAAACTCAAAGATATTTTATTGACAAATAAAAAATATTTATTTTTATGATTATTACAATAATCATCATAGGTACAACCCTAGAGAATTCGTGCGATGACGCGCTTGCACGTGAGTCGCACGGCGGTCAACACAATCTCGACTCTTTAAGCGCGTATTTATGGTACATTTTCCTCTCGCTGCGAACAGTAGATATTATTATTAAGATTTTGTAGGCTATTATAGCGTAGGTATTTTCGCTTTTGTATGGGAGTGATGTATCTGTTTAGTAAACTATTAACTAATCTGTGCTATGGGCACACAGCAGTGGTGTAGTATTGGGCATGATTTTTTAAATTTGAAACCCGCAATGTAACGTTCCAAGCGAACTGTATACCTAGCTAGAAACTACAAACGAGTTGGTGAGCAGCGAGAAGCGAGTGTATAGTTCCTATAGTTAGGTAAAATTACGGTCGGCCCCGGGCAGCGAAATCCCACGCTACGCCACTGGCACACAGCATTCACTTACCATCAGGTGGACTGTATGATACTTTGTCGCCCTTATACTATAAAAATGGCAGGCAGGCATCTTTGAACTGTTTAACACTGACAATAAATTGCTGCAAAAAGCAAAACAAAAACTAGTAGTAATTTGATAAAGGGTTTCGAGAATCTTCCAGTAGTCACCATAGTTCCATAGTTACTCAAGTCGTAATCGGGTTAGCAATTTATAAGAAGAAAGAATTGAGGTTTAAATATACAGGGTTATTTTTCAAAGAGTAGGCAAATTATAAACTTAAGTTCAAATATATAAATAATGATATACCGTTATTGCATTTTTGGAAAATACGAGTAAATAAGGCTTCTACTTTTATTTTAAACTATCCCAAATTGAACTTGCCCATAACAACAACGTTTTGGGCCCTACCGATCGAGCCTTACGAATGTGTGTGCGTGAGCAGTAAGATCAGTTATTGCAAAATAACCCTGAATATTAATGATGTTCATACTGTTACAGTATGGGGTTCATACCTGTACTGTAACAATTACTTAAATAAAACTTAGGAATCAATGTTTATCATTATTTATTACATAAATGATATCTGTCAGACTTAATAAATTAATGAAACGATGTTATCATATGAATGTTAAGTTCTTTTTATCATCTCTTAATGCTAGGTAACATTTATTTAATTTGCAAACATAAATTTGAGATGTATATAAAAATATTGTTACATTTGTTAACCGTTCTAATGTGGCCATACTTAAAGTACAGTTTCCTACCGATTGATATCGAAATTTTTGTTACAGTAAACACTCAAATCAAATGAAATACTTTTTACGAGCTGTCAGAACGAAATAATTTTTTTTAAAGAAAATGTAGGAGTAGAGCAGAGTAAATGGCATCACAATGTCTTGAAATCAAATTATCAAACATTTGTATGTATTTATAACATTTTTTAAAATACTAAATACACAACTTGAAATGGACATTGACCAAAATTTTTAGACACTACGACACTATTCGATGTAATCAATTCAAGTTTTACTAATGATTATCCCATTAATTAAGAACTCGATTACAAATAAATACTTTCAATGTTGGCGTCTTTTGGAGCGATTAAATAAGGAGTCAAAAATATTAATATCTTTGAAGAATCATAGAGCAGATTTTATTTATTAATGACATTCCAAACACCGCGTACACTCCAGAATATATTAACACCGTGCTTTTCTTGAATTGGGCAGACGTCATTCGGCCGCTCGCGCCTCCGCAAGGACCCCACGTGCTTGCTCCAGCGCTTTCCTAAGAACAAAATTTTATAATAATTATAATAGAATCATGCTGGCAGGGTTACTGCGCGATAATTCATTATATTAAAGATATTAAAATTAATTAACAAACTAAGTAAGACATTTTTTTCATGCGGATCCTATGAATTTGAAAAAAGTTCGGATTTTAGAGATATAAATATAATTATTAAAATAAATAAACATTTCCAACACCGTTCCACTATTTTCGGAAAATAGGTTTGTTTGAGAATTATGTACAAAAAATGTAATCATGTCTACAAAAGTATAAATAATTATAATATGACAAATTAGTTTATAATTTCAACTGCATTAAAAATTGTTTTCTTGTTTATAGAAGCAAGGGCAAAAGACAAGCGCACTGTTCACCTGACGGTGTGGATGTTGTGACCCATAGACACCTACATATATACAGCAGCATAATGTCGCTATTTTACGCTAGTAATCTGCACGAGCGTGGCTCTAACATTATATACTACAATCCATCACAAGTTCACCGTTGAACGTGGGCCTCTCCCATACATTGCCTGATATGTCACTACAGACACAAGTATTTATTACACTACGGACTGTCTAACAAACACCCAACTATTTCAAGAGCGAAGGAGAGGGTGCGAAACCGCTAGAAGGTAGCGTGATTCGATAATTTTTAATTGGTATTATGCCGTACACGGGAGAGTAACGCGCTTTATTTGTACGCGCGTTTTTTGAGACCGGTCATTCGTTCTTACGCGTGTGTCGTTTATTTCGAGTTTACAATCGATTGCGGAATATTGGTGAGGCGCTAAGCAAATTAACCATGCCCTCGTGGATAACTGCAAGAACGTAAAAAAATCTTGAGTTGGTGGCATATTCTGTGAGATGTCTGTCAACTAAGAATATCCAGAGTGACGTTACACCGCGTATTGCGTTCTGATTTGCATCTCAAGGCATACAAAATTCAGATCGCGCAGTCAATTTGGTTATATTTTAAGACTGAATTTTGACAAGACAATGTTGGACATTTCTTAATTACGAGAATTTGTTCTTCAATGTTGAGTTACACGTTTTCACCTAGTTGGGTAGGTTAATGGACAAAATTGCCATTTCTGTGGGAGTCTAATCCTGCTGTACTTCACTAACGCCCATTGTATATTCCTGAAGTAACCATATGGATGCCTAGTCAGCAAAATGGGTCATTGAATCTAATTTTTACGAGAACGCAAGAGACAGAACAGTAATTGTAACTTCGGCGCGTATGTAAAAATGATTCGCAACTTCTAACTATATTTATTATGTATATATAAGGAAAAACATTAAACAAAAAAAAACATGCGTGCAGTTTACACGCGGTAAAAGAGGAACCTTCAAATGAAATTAAATAAAATATTTCATGGCAAATGATTGTATTATGATCATTTTCAACCACAAGTGTAACATAAAATATAAGATATAAGTTTAAGTAGCAAATAAATGTACAATCCTTATTTTTAGACAAAATTTTAGTGTATTAAATCAAAAGAATATTTTCTTTCGAGTAAAATTGCTTTGTAATAGCGCTATCTACTTTATTCTATTGGTAGTCTTTTTATCGATCAAAAATTGATTGATTCTCAATATGGTACGTAAACTAGACCACAGAATAAATAAGTACAGAAGTTGCACTCTTTTGATGTTGACTGATTGCCGACGTTTTAGTAGCCTACATAATTATTATTAATCAGATAATTCGCGCAGCCAAGCTAAATAAAACTTTATCGCTGCGCTCGAGTGTCTATGTATTACTTTGCATCTTTTTTACTTACTGCGTTACAACGGACTTTCTGTGGTTGCTAAGGGCTGTTAATAAAGAATAAAATACCTATGCTGACTATAATCGACCATATTATCTACCATGTGAGTTCTGTGATGCCCAACGCATGCAACTTGCAAGGCCATTCATCGGGATCGCGATGCTTGGTTCGTATAGGTAGATAACGTAAACAACAAATAAACCCGAAATACGATTCCTAACAGAAATATGATCGTAATCTACTTAGTTGAAAATCTTGTAAACAAAGTTTTAAGTATTTTGTACTATTATAACTTAAAATATTTTAATTACAAAGACGAGTTATACTGGGTGGCGCTTTGGTTATCACGTTAAATAACACAGCAGTTAATACAAGTTGATATATGTCTGTTAAAATAATAAAATAAACAATAATAAAAGAAAATAAAAAATGCATTTTTCAAGAAATAAAAAATCCTTGATAATATTAGATTACTGACCTGAAGTGACCTGTAAAACCGGCAACAGCGCTCAGTGCTCACGTGACATCGACATAGGTAATTATAATACCCACACTTGACCATACATAGGTAATTAGGCATGCGTAGGGCGATGCTAATCCGATGTTATCAACGAATCATAAATTTCATGGTATTGTTTTTATCCAAGTAATCACTTTAATCTTGAAATCACTCAAGTTTAATAATCAAAACAAATCAAATTTTGAAAAAAAAAATCATGTCGGTGTATTCCGACGACGTGAAATTGTAATACAAAGCATTTTTAAATTTAAAAAAAGTTAAGACGTTAAAAAAATAAAAGAGTGCAATTGCGCACGGGCTGTCACACCACTAAGTTATAAATGTCTAATCTAGCGTATTATTAACGTGTCCTATCACAAACAAATTAAGAAACTTATTAAAATGTCCACAAAAAAAAAAACAAAACTTAAAGGACGTGCACGCGAAAAACGAAAATTAGGTCAAGCGACTCATGAACCATCCGCAAGGACGCCGGCGTCGGACTATCGGTTTCGGTCGCACGCTTGATTTTGGATTGGCAACGTTTAAACTAGGTATATTCACCTTCAAATGCCATGGGTCTTTGACCTTCTAGTATTCATCAGGTGATATCTGTGTGCATTTACATGATGTTATTTAATATTAAAACGAAAAAAATGCTACGGCTACTAAAATATTAATTGTTATATATTTTTTTAGTTGTGTATGTTTAAAGAAATATATGTAGGATACGTCTTTTCATTTAATGTGATAACTTTACCGTCACTCGGTATACCTATGTAAGTAGGTACTTGGGTATTGAAGTAAATTTCAACTAAGTTTTGTAATAAAGTACTTAGGTATTACTTCTGTAGTTAAATTATTACTTAATTATTTTTTCGCTATAAGTATCTATCTCACAAAAAAATTAAATAAATTTACCTTTCATAATCCTTCGGTAATTCAAAAAAATGATATATCTGAATCCTTTTAATTGCTCATTAAGCATCCATCCCCGCAACAATTATAGTAGGAACGACGTCTTTCCATTATAATTTATCAAATAGATAGGTAATATACATATATATTATTCTTAAATTAAATTAAAAGTTTTTCAACTATTTTATCCTACAATTAAATATACTAAACATTAAACAAAAACTATTTCGACGAGTATTTCAACAAGTATTTACAAAAAATTATTTACATAAACAGCGTTAAAAAAAATTAACATTCAATCGTATAGAGCGCGTTAGCCCCGACTTCGATCTACCCCTGGGGCAGCTCGCGATTGTAGGTAAATATTTCACGCAGGTAGGCACGAGTGGCAGAGGTCTGACTAGACGCTAGAGGACCTGAAGTTATGACATCATCATTCATCATTCATCATTACAGCCCTTCACAAGTCCACTGCTGAACATAGGCCTCCCCCAAAGAATGCCACAAAGCACGGTCCTGAGCCACCTGCATCCATCGACTTCCTGCATGTCTTACCAGGTCGTCACTCCATCTCGTGGGGGGACGCCCTACACTTCGCCTACCGGTACGAGGCTGCCACTCGAGAACCTTTCTTCCCCATCGGTTGTCGGTTCTTCGAGCTATATGGCCGGCCCACTGCCACTTCAGCTTACTAATTCGTTGGGCTATGTCGGTTATTCTGGTTCTACTGCGGATATCCTCATTCCTAAGTTTATCACGCAGAGAAACTCCGAGCATAGCCCTCTCCATAGCTCGCTGAGCGACCTTGAGCTTCCTCATACGGCCAGCAGTGAAGGACCACGTCTCAGTTCCGTAAGTCATCACTGGCAACACGCACTGGTTGTACAATTTCGTTTTAAGGTTTTGAGGTATGTCTGACGAGAAGATGTGTCGTAGCTTCCCGAACGCTGCCCAGCCGAGTTGAATCCGTCGATTGACCTCTCGGTCGAAGTTGGACTTACCTAGTCGGACTATTTGTCCCAGGTAAACATACTCGTCAACAACTTCGAGATTAGTGCTCCCAACAACTACCGGCATAGGTGTGACATGGACATTAAACATAATCTTTGTTTTGTCCATGTTCATCTTAAGACCTATCCGTTGGGAAACACTATTGAGGTCATTGAGCATAGTGCTTAGGCCCTCCAGCGATTCTGCCATAAGGACTATATCGTCGGCAAATCGAAGGTGAGTGATGTACTCGCCATTGATGTTGATACCGTACCCTTTCCAGTCCAGAAGCTTGAAAACGTCTTCCAATGCAGCGGTGAAGAGTTTCGGGGATATGACGTCACCCTGTCTTACACCTCTCTGCAATTGGATAGGTTTCGTACTCTGGTTCTGTACTCGGATAGCCATCGTAGCCCTACTGTACAAGCACTTCAACACTTCGATATACCGACAGTCAACTTGGCACCGCTGAAAGGACTGCAGCACCGCCCAAATTTCGACGGAATCAAAGGCTTTCTCATAGTCCACATACGCCAGACATAGTGGCAAATTGTACTCTTCGGACTTCTGTACAACTTGCCGAAGGGTATGTATGTGGTCTATGGTGCTAAAGCCCTTTCGGAAACCGGCTTGTTCGGGAGGCTGGAAGTCGTCAAGTCTGCGCGCGAGACGATTCGTAATGACTCTCGAAAACAGCACGTAGACGCGGCTCAGAAGGGAAATCGGTCTGTAGTTCTTCAAGAGAGCGTTGTCACCTTTCTTCAAGAACAAGACCACCGCACTTCTGCTCCACGCCTCCGGTGTAATGCCACCATGGAGGACGGAATTAAAGAGCTTCTGAAGGACTTCAAGTACCGGTCTTCCACCCGCTTTCAGAAGCTCCGCTGTAATTCCATCCTCGCCTGGGGCCTTACCGGTTTTAAGGTGCTGGAGAGCCATTCTAATCTCGCTCAGACTGACGTCCGGGATATCTTCGGAATAGTGTCGGATGAGACTCGCTCTTGGATCGTTACTCACACTTGCGTGTGGCTCCAACGATGACGTGTACAGCTGCCCATAGAACCTCTCAATCTCACTCAAAATCTCAGGTGTCCCGGAAACGATGCTGCCACATTCTGTCTTCAGCTTTGACAGTTGGCTCTTTCTGGCAGACAGATCTCTGGCAAAGACTTTGGAGCCTTGGTTCCGCTCGATCGCTTCTTCAATACGAGCTGTATTGAAGTTGCGTAAGTCTCGCCGCATGCATTTTGAGATCTGTCTGTTCAGATGCCTGTATGCTGTCAAGTCTGTTGAAGAATGTAGCTTCATCTCCCGTCTAACAGCCATGAGATTAAGAGTGTGATCGGAGAGTTTTTGTGTTCTTCTGCGGCGGGTCTTGCAGAACTTAGCTCCGACCGCATGGACAGTTTCCACGAGCTTGTCATTCATATCGTCCACTTCATTGCAGTCTTCTAGGCACTGAAAACGGTTTTGTAACTCGAGCTGAAAGGTTTCGGGACTTTGGATTAGAGCACGAGGGGGACGGAGCGTTGACTTCATTAGACGAGACCTCTCCAACTTAACGTTTAGGTTCAGTGTGCCTCTAACCATTCGGTGATCGCTACCAGTTTTCACCCTTGCGATCACGGAGACATCACTGAACAGTTGTCGTCTGGTCGTCATAATGAAGTCAATCTCATTTTTTGTCGAACCGTCGGGGCTCGACCAGGTCCACTTCCTGTGGGGCCGCTTCTGGAAGAAAGAGTTCATCATAAAGAGTCCCTCTTTCTCCATGAAGTCGGCCAGCTGCTGGCCCCTTGGGTTCCGTTGCCCTATTCCAAATTTCCCTACTTTCAGCTCACCGTTCTCTCTTGTGCCTAGTTTTGCATTGAAGTCTCCCATTAACACCGTATATTGGGTTTTGGAGGAATGCATGGCTCTAGAGATATCCTCATACATTTCCTCCACCTCCCCATCGGGGTGTGCCGAGGTTGGTGCGTAAACCTGTATGACCTTCAGCGAATACCGTTTGGTGATTCTGAGTATAAGGTACGCAACCCTCGTCGACACACTCCCGATCTTTACAACGTTGTTAACGAGAGACTTGTGGACGATAAATCCGACACCTCCTTGGGACAGATGGTCGCCCTCCCGGTGATAGAGCAAGTTGCCGGATTCGAGGATTACCGTGTCCTCCCCCTCTCTTCGGACTTCGGATAATCCTATAATATGCCAGCGCAACTTGTCTATCTCTTCTTCCAGCTCCACGATCTTCTCGTCAGTCCTCAGGGTGCGTGCGTTGTACGTTGCCAGGTCGAGTCGTCTAAGGTGGCAACCGAACCTCCACAGGAGATTCTTAGCACCCCCTGCCCCGCCGTTACCATGTTCGCCACCGTAGCCAGGAATAGCGGGGCCGCCGGGGACTGGGGGCCGTCTGTTTGTTGCTTTAGTCATTGGGGGGTATTTGCCATAGTTTCCAACATTGGCGAGCGGGTTGGCAACCGCAGTTTTTTTTTTATAATTTTTTTATAATATGACATCATGGATTGTTATAAATGTATTAGTATATTATGATAATTTTATTTAATTTGGTTTATATTATTAATTTAATAAATTTGTAAATTTTGACCCCGACGAAAACCGTATTCACGGTCACTAATCAGCTGGTGATCCTCAAGATACCGCATGAGCTGGCAGTTTATAATAGATTCCATTATTTTGGAGAACAAGGAGGTGATAGCGATAGGCATAGCTAGACGAGTCTGAGCGGTTGCCTTTTTAGCCAGCGTGCAGAATGCAATCGCGATTTTAGTGTGAGTGGCACTACACTCCGGATTAGACAATGGTCTGAAGAGCCAAGAGGGGAGTGGACGGAGACCTGATATCTATCTGAATGAGAGGTCACGGTCAGCGTAGAAGGTCCAACAGGGAGGGTGACTGATCTTCCAGATCTGGAATCCGCGTAGACGAAGTTACCAGTTGTGTCAGACCATATACCAAAACGTGAACCGAGCCATTCGGCGTGGTGGGCGTTACAATTGCACAGGATCACGATCTCTGCGGATGGGATCTACTGTAGCAAGGAATCTGTAACCATTTGAACGTGGTCGATAATCGATCTGTTTCGGCACCTGTAGACGCGCGAATGGTCGTCGCTGTCTAAGCGTAGCCAAAGGATGGACAGGTCCGAACCATTAAGACTGCCAAGGCGTCGAGAACATATGTCCTCTCTTATGTATGCGCAAACTCCAGCTCGAGGCACAAAGGAGTGTTCCAATTTGTAACCCGGGTGGGAGAGATACGAAGTATCAGCCGAAGAGGACACCTGCGTCTCTGTCAGGAAGATCAAGGCCGGCTTCGCCGTCTCGAGATGTTAGTGGACGCTATTTAGGTTCGAGTGAAGTCCCCTGATGTTGCAGAAAGTCACGTGGTAGGGGTCGCCTTGGCCTTGTTGCTCAGCTTGCTTCGAGCAGTTATTGTCTTGGGCGGAATTTGCCCCCCATCCGCTCCCCCAGAATACGCGGGGCAGCCTAAGCACTCAGGAGAGGAAACTCCCTGCTCAGGAGTGGAGTAGCTTGGTCGTGGATGCACAACAAGGGGTAATCAATTACCAGGGGTGCTAGTACCCTTCTGGGGTAGTATTACATTTAATTCCGTTACCATGTTGACGGGGGGGATTGGTTCTCCTGCACTCAACAGACGAAACGCAGAAGCAGATCTTCCATTTCACGCCGGTATTCTGTGAGGTCATGGTACCACTCCGGCTGGAGCCGGCCCATACGTGCAACAGTCGAAGTTGCTTTCACTCGGTGAAATATTCGACTCTACTGAGTGAGCGACGAGCGTGGCGAGGCGACAAGGCGAACTAATACGGTCGGGCCGCGCGTGTGAGCGGGATAGGAAGTTGCTCATCGTCGCGACGGCGCGCCGCATTCTTCACGCGGCGGCGACGCGTCGACATGAACTCACAGCGACGGCGGCGCGCCAGCGCGGCGCTCATATGTAATATGTTTGTCTCTTTTTGTTTTTAGTGTTGCTCTAGTTTCATCGAGTTTGAAATCACAACGATTTTAAAGAAGTTTTCACTTCAAAAATGCGTTGATGTTTTCAGACATCTTCTTGAGAAAATTTTTAGAAACCTACATCTGAGATCCTATGACACAAGAATGTTGTCAGTGCAACGGTCGTTACCTCAGCGACATTATTAAAAAAAAAAAACAATAAATATATTTGAAACGCATTTTTTCTGTATCTTGAAATAGTTAGGTCCTTATGAAACATAATGTAAAATTTTTACATATTATAATCTACTTTAATATAAGTAAACGACACACGATACACAACACACGTCACACGTTGCAGTGCGGCGGCCCACAGCGCGCCACGCGACATACGACACACGACACACAACAATACGTACAGGTGCAGCGGGTTGTCGCTGTGCAGCCGGCTGAGCGCCAGCTGCGCCAGGCGCGCCACACGCTGCAGCGCGGCGGCCCGCAGCGTGCCGGCGCGGGGCAGCGTCTCCGCCAGGGCAGCTGCAGCCGCCGCCATCTGCGGCCCGGGTGCCGCACCAGCCGCGCAGCATAGCGTCTCTGTTGAACACAGTGTAAATACTGACATATACTTCTAAACCAACACACAAAATCAACTCAACTAATCAATGAACGTTAGCTCAATAGTCTTCGGATAATAGAAGTACTGGTAGATATAAAATAATTAAAATTAATTCGCTTTGGCCTTATAGTGTTTGTTTATTAAAGAAGCTCTGGCATGTGATAATAAAAAATAAAGTGAGTTACCGATGAGTGAGAGCACGAGCGCGTCCGCGTTGAGCGTGGGCGGCGGCGCGCACAGCGCCAGCGCGGCGCGCAGCAGGCGCACGCCGGCGCCCAGGCAGCGCCGCCAGAACACGCCGCCCGCGCCCTCCACCACCCTGCCCGCACATCAACATGCCGTTCAACACACGAGCCCCCAAACATTTCTATGAATACTACAACGTAGGCTCGATCTCCTTAATATTTTGCGCACTAAGTTACGCCCACTAACCAACTGTGAGCGGTTAAGAAGATTGAGTCTTTGTTTTACAAACCGCGAACATATTTTTCGGCAAACCTAACATTGATTTTGTTTAGGCTATCTCATTTTAAAGAAGTTTTCACTTCATACACACTTTTTAAACAAAAAGTAAAAGCCTAAAAGAAATGTAGTTTGCGTACTGTGGAGGCAGCGCGGGCAGGAAGACGTCTGCGTTGAGCGCGGCCTGGAGGCGGGCGCGCGCCGCGGCGGCGAGGCGACGCAGCGCGCCCCCTCCCCCGGCCGTGCCTGCCCCCGCCCCGCCGCCGCCCCCCGCCGCGCCCGGCAGCGAGGCGCCGCGCTCCAGCACGCGCCGCAGCCGCACGCAGGCGCGCACGCTCATCGGATCCCACGCCTGCTCCACCAACTCTGCGCATGCGCAACACACTGCATTAATACCCAAACGCCTCTATGTTACTACTTACTACGAGACAAACTTTGTGGCCTTAATAATAGTGTGCAATGTCACTATGTTAAGTACAATTCTGCGTAACCCCTTTAGTCGACTGCGAGCGACCGTAAATACTAGTTCTTTCGTTTGTAAACCGCGAACATTGTTTTCGATAATATAACACTAATTTTGTTTAATGTAAATAAGAAAACGCTGTCATTAGTTATGTGCACGCTTTGTTAACGTGATTTGAAATTTATTTCAGATAAGTATATAAATTCATTTCATATTTGCCTAAAAATCGTAACTGTCGTAAATGAAAATACAACTACGTGACATTTTTATCATACCAGCTGCCCAACCGTACCCGCGCCCGCGCGATATTCAACTGTATCACAGTTTTTATTCTGAATTGCCAATCTAGTAATAAACATAATATAATTTATTAATACCGCGCATATTTAAGACAACGATTTCCCAAGTTTAAAAGGGATTTAGCACTCACGTCTCCACAGTATGCATATTTGTCCACCACGACGTAAGCATGCGAAATTAAGTTGACGAAAAGTTACTTTATTTGAAAGATTTTTAGTTTTTATCGAGAAATAAAAGGATTTAAGTAAAAATGTAGCTGAATAACTCGAACTCAAACATTAAAGTTTTTCCCAACGATTAGGTTTTTGTATTTCGATTAATATAAAATATTTTAAAAATCACTTCGATTAAGAATTTAATTGAATATTTTATGTACTTGTCAAATACATATTTTACATACTTTCATATACATATTTTATCCAAATAAATGGGCAAAGAATCTGTTTCAAGAAGTATCAATTCTCAAGATTCAACATTTTTTTTTGTTCAACCTAGCCGTAGCACACGGACGGATATTATATCCATAAATTGTTATCCCATTTCAAAAAAGGAAGAGGTTGTTAATACAAATGTATTAACAACCTCTTCCTTTCATTTCATTTCAATCCTCTCCCTATCATCACGGGGGCCCCCGAAAGGCCGACATATTTGCTTACACTATACAATCTTTTTTCTATTTTAGGAAAATATAACCCGACACAAAAATTTATAGAGTAAATGAGGGCGTGAAACCCTGAGCAGTGACAAGCCACATATTGCAGAGTTTGACAGAAAAAGTGGTATTGACAGATTTCTTAAGTAGAAAATATATATTCCGCGTTTCGCCCCATCTAAACGTTTTTTTTTTTCGAGTTGTACAATCAACTATAATTACAGTTAAATAAATGTTGTTGGTTAAATTGATAATAGAAAGAAACATGAATATAGTTAGTAGCTTAGTGAATTTTAATCGAACACCAGAACAGTTTTTTTTAATCTTTTACTAAACAGTGAACATTTTCATAATTATAAAAATATCATAAAAGTACCTACATTGCAAATTCGAGTTTGTAATGCATACAATGCACTACATAGAAGTCGACATTGTGTTTGGTTGGGGGATTTCCCGAAAGGTCAAACTTATAAGGTGAGGTTTGTGGTGTGATTTAGTTTTGTCTCATAGAAATTATTATCGAATTACGAATTCGAAATTATCGAAAGTAACATATTTACGTGGTTCTCAAAAAAGAAAAAAGGTTTTAGCTCAAAAATAAATAACCAAAAAACTTCCTAAGCTCACATCATTTTTACGGTTGAAGAAATAAATACGCCAACTAATTCTCCACCAGCATCACCTCAAGATCGAAATACTTCTGAATATCAACTGGAAAAATATCATACGTGTGACAAAAAAGACCAACACGCATCAGATGCTGAACCCTCCGTTTCAAGCCACTGTGAGTTAATAACTAAATGCTTTAAAAATGTATCTCCTGATACTGGTACGTATTGCGATGATTTAACAGAAGAATTACGCGATATTTGGATTCGAAAAGGGCCATTATTTTTTTCAAAATAAAAATGGTGTTTTCGAAACTTCTGCAAGTTTTCCAGATTCAAGCGGTAAAAAAAAAACTAGATATTTAACTATAAATATTTTTACGCGTGAATTGATGAATGGTGAGTCTTTAGAAAGAAAATAGCTCCTTTATTCACCGCCGAAGAAATCTGTGTACTGCTATTGCTGCCGTCTATTTAATGCTACTACTGGTGCTGGCCATAATTTGAGTTCTCCAAATGAATATAAAGATTGGAAGCATATAAGTAACTTATTGAGATGACATGAGAACAGTTTACAGACAATTAATGATGAATTATGTCGCAAGAAGCAAAAATACTTGAGGAGTTGACAGTTAGTTGCTCTCTTAATACAATACAGAAGTCAATTATTGAAAGAATGTACTTAGAAGAATTGTTGTAGCAGTGAAATTTATAGCTTCTAGAGATCTTGCTTTTCGTGGTGATAACGAGATATTGAGGTTTCAAAATAACGGGAATTATTTAGGACGCCTAGAATTGATTAGTGAATTTGATCCATTTCTTGCCGCGGAAATCGTGGAAAAGGAAGAACCTACATCATATTTGTCTGCAAATATTTGCAATGACTTTATTAATTTAATGGGACAGCAAGTTTTAAAAACAATTGTCAACTAACCTTTATCGTTAAATACGTAAAAGACGGAGAGCCTATTGAGAGATTTTTGCAGTTTTTGCCTATATAAATATTGTGCAGAATGTCTAGCTGATATCATTTTAAACTTTTTGAAAGCCATGATAATTTTTTTTTGGAGCTTTGTCCTCAATTGCAAGTGACATCGATGAACCAAGAAACCAAGCCCAAAGCCTAGCAAAAAAAAAAATGGAGAAATTGACCATGGACGTTGCAACAAAATTTTACGCATCTCTGATCGATTATAATATTATTGACACACGCAATAATTTCAATCGGTACGAATCGATCGAAGAAAAAAAAATCCAAATACTGATTAAGAAAGAAAGAAAAAGAATTCGCAGCACACGCTTTACTTTTTTTGAAGGATTGTCTGAGACTGTACAGTTGTTAAATGGCAAAGAAAAATTTCATGTAGATACGTTTATTTTTTGTAATCGATACATTAAATTTACATTCGTTTTAGTTTTCTTTATCAATTAATAACAATCGATTCTAATGAGTTGACAAAAAATGCAATAAATTTGAAGAATTCTATCATGAAGACATTAATGCATATGATGCATATGATGTGCTCAAATCAGAATATTTTTATTTAGTATGGTTGACTTACAAAACTAATAAACGATGATAAATTAGAAGAAACTGTTCCTTTGCTTAATGATCACCAATTTTAGTGGAGATCGCTCATATTCACACCTAAAGAAGATAAAAAATGAATTACGAACAACTATGTTCCAAGAACAACTAACGAATTAGTCAATAATTATGTGAATATAAAGTGATATCCTTCAAAAATAGACTTTGAAGATTTAATAGAAGATTATGAACAACAGAAATCCCGAAAGAATCCACTGTCGTAATGGTAACCAATTCAAAACACCAACGTACTTAAGTAATTAATACCAATAAACTATAATAAATATAAGATCATATAGCAGAAAAGTGTTGTTGTCATTCACTTTTTTTACTTTCCAACAGGGCCCCAAATTCTTGTGTGCCCAATAAATGCGCCTAAGACGGCGTTGCTTATTAGTAATATTTAGTATAGGGAACGTATGTAGAGAACTAAATGGACCATTTGGTCCTTCGAGACTTTTATGAATAAGTATAACATACAACCCTACGCATTGTATTTATTGTATTAATTTTAAGTTCGTAAGTCGAAATATAAAGATTCATCATTATTTTTCTTTTATAAATTAATATTTCGTTTATCAAACTATAACATCATGTTCTTTAATTTACTGCCGTTTCAAAATGAATTTCATCTACCTATACTAGAAATGGCGAAATAAACTCCTATTTAATTATCTTCCTAATGTAGTTTTTCAAAAGGGTAATGCTACGATATTCCTCATAATATATAACTGGTGTTGACTTTAATATGATATAATTGCATCTCACTGCCACCAATGGTCAGCTGTGAGCACTAGCATAAAATCTAGCTGACATACCTGTGACTTTGGGCAACACAACCTTGTTCACAATAGTCGGCACGAGGAACAAATCCGGATCTTCTCTGATCGCGTCTTCGCTCAACACCGGCACTTCCGCATCTTCATCATCTGAAGACTCGTCGGAATCGCTGGAAAGTTTCTCCGAACGGACCCCGTACATCATGAGGCATCTGTTTTGAACAGTAATAATGAAATTTTGATGTATTTTATTGAATATTTTTGGACATAAAAACAAAAAAAAATTCATATCGCTGATAATGCTTTTGTTTTTTTTTTATTTGAGATTAAATTAAAAAAGCTTATTACGGCTAATATCTTAAGTTACATGATTTTAAAGGCTGTAGAACTAGCATGGACCAAAGAATGTTATCCCCGAGGAAAGGAGAAAATGTTTATCTCCTCGCTTAGTTTTATCCACCCTTCGTACATGGGCACACCAGTAGATATAATAACCACAGTAAATAAAATTGGGGATAGACTTAGATTTTTTTGTATTGTTGCGCGATTAATACATGGTACATGGCGACACTAGTTACCACTAACGTCTTCTGGTATCGAGTAGCAGAGCTAGGAGAGTCAAGAACATTCTAGACATTTCCATGGAAGAACTTTCTAGAACTATCGACACCTAGTCAATCGGGACCGATAAGTACTCGAACATTCTAGAAGTTTCTATAGTAGAAGGTTCTGGAAACTACCTGAGGCCCTATATAAGGTCGGTATAGACCGCGACCTGGTCAGTATTGAATTGGCGATACAAGTGAATACTTCGAAGCGATAAAAACTGGGAACTAAAGTGATCAGTAGTACAATTGTTTTTATTATTAGTGTGGTTTTAAGTTGTAATTAGTGTTCTGTAATTAAAGTGTCAATTTTGGTCAAAACGAGCCCCAAGCTCGTAACAGCATGAATATAAACTTAAGCTCACGTCCAACGAACTAGGATAAAATTGTGCCTTTCAAATGTCAAAAAAGCATAATTGTTTTATACATTTCGCCCCATGCTACTGTCGGGGGATATATGTCTACTCGTTATGTCAAACGGGGATATACTTCTCCCCGTAGCCGTGCTTCGATATAAGACAAGATAATTTTATCTTTTGTTAGTAGATATAATCGGGGAATAATATTTCCCCTCAGCCCATGCTAGCCGTGCTGTACTGCTTAGAAAAGTTTTTTATTACAACTTTTTTATATTAAGATCATACTTCATTTATTAAATAATATAGCTTAGATTAAATAGCCGTTTATAGAGTTAAAAAAATAGTGCTCACTTGTACCAGTCCATCTTTTCATAATCTTCATTATCTTCGTCAGCTAGTGGATTCCACAGGATTAACTAAATAACAAAAACAAATTGCTTTAAAAAAACTAAGTTGATATGTGGTAGGTGGTGTGAGAGAATTCAACGATTGATGCCGTTTTCGTTCCATGTATGTTGTAAGAGATGACTATGGGAACTGTACTGTACTGCACACGTAGTGCGTACCTCGTGTCGCACGTAGGGCGCCAGCAGGCGCGGCAGGCAGTCCGCGACGTACGCGTCGCTGTAGAGCGCGGGCTGGCGGCGCCGCCAGCGAGCAGCCCGCGCGCACACGCCGCGCACTCCCCGCCACGCCGCCAGCGCATCCGCAAACAGACCCGCCGACATCCGCCTGATCGCCTCTGCAATATGATAGAGTAAATAATATAACAACTTACGAATTGAGGCACCATGTGACATTTGTTACAAAATGTTATCATGTTATAATATAATGATTAAAACAGCAATGTGGGAGCGAGCACCTTTACCCTTTAAACCAACACATAACAGTAGTAGACTGTTGGTTATCCACAGAGAATGGTACTTATTCATTAATATTATAATACGCCTCGAGTGGTACGTATTCATTAATATCATAATAACCGCCTCGCGCCGCAGCCGGTGTGCGTGTGTGCGTGCGTGCGTGCGTACCGGCCTCGTGCGCGAAGTGCTGGCGCTCGGCGGGCGGCAGCGAGTCGTCGCTGGAGTCGCCGTCGCGGTGCGCGGGCGGCGCGCCGGCGGCGGCGGCCCCCGCCTCGCGCCGCAGCCGGTGTGCGTGTGTGCGTGCGTGCGTGCGTACCGGCCTCGTGCGCGAAGTGCTGGCGCTCGGCGGGCGGCAGCGAGTCGTCGCTGGAGTCGCCGTCGCGGTGCGCGGGCGGCGCGCCGGCGGCGGCGGCCCCCGCCTCGCGCCGCAGCCGGTGTGCGTGTGTGTGTGCGTGCGTGCGTGCGTACGTACCGGCCTCGTGCGCGAAGTGCTGGCGCTCGGCGGGCGGCAGCGAGTCGTCGCTGAAGTCGCCGTCGCGGTGCGCGGGCGGCGCGCCGGCGGCGGCGGCCCCCGCCTCGCGCCGCAGCCGGTGTGCGTGTGTGCGTGCGTGCGTACGTACCGGCCTCGTGCGCGAAGTGCTGGCGCTCGGCGGGCGGCAGCGAGTCGTCGCTGGAGTCGCCGTCGCGGTGCGCGGGCGGCGCGCCGGCGGCGGCGGCCCCCGCCTCGCGCCGCAGCCGGTGTGCGTGTGTGCGTGCGTGCGTGCGTACCGGCCTCGTGCGCGAAGTGCTGGCGCTCGGCGGGCGGAAGCGAGTCGTCGCTGGAGTCGCCGTCGCGGTGCGCGGGCGGCGCGCCGGCGGCGGCGGCCCCCGCCTCGCGCCGCAGCCGGTGTGCGTGTGTGCGTGCGTGCGTACGTACCGGCCTCGTGCGCGAAGTGCTGGCGCTCGGCGGGCGGCAGCGAGTCGTCGCTGGAGTCGCCGTCGCGGTGCGCGGGCGGCGCGCCGGCGGCGGCGGCCCCCGCCTCGCGCCGCAGCCGGTGTGCGTGTGTGCGTGCGTGCGTACGTACCGGCCTCGTGCGCGAAGTGCTGGCGCTCGGCGGGCGGCAGCGAGTCGTCGCTGGAGTCGCCGTCGCGGTGCGCGGGCGGCGCGCCGGCGGCGGCGGCCCCCGCCTCGCGCCGCAGCCGGTGTGCGTGTGTGCGTGCGTGCGTACGTACCGGCCTCGTGCGCGAAGTGCTGGCGCTCGGCGGGCGGCAGCGAGTCGTCGCTGGAGTCGCCGTCGCGGTGCGCGGGCGGCGCGCCGGCGGCGGCGGCCCCCGCCTCGCGCCGCAGCCGGTGTGCGTGTGTGCGTGCGTGCGTGCGTACCGGCCTCGTGCGCGAAGTGCTGGCGCTCGGCGGGCGGAAGCGAGTCGTCGCTGGAGTCGCCGTCGCGGTGCGCGGGCGGCGCGCCGGCGGCGGCGGCCCCCGCCTCGCGCCGCAGCCGGTGTGCGTGTGTGCGTGCGTGCGTACGTACCGGCCTCGTGCGCGAAGTGCTGGCGCTCGGCGGGCGGCAGCGAGTCGTCGCTGGAGTCGCCGTCGCGGTGCGCGGGCGGCGCGCCGGCGGCGGCGGCCCCCGCCTCGCGCCGCAGCCGGTGTGCGTGTGTGCGTGCGTGCGTACGTACCGGCCTCGTGCGCGAAGTGCTGGCGCTCGGCGGGCGGCAGCGAGTCGTCGCTGGAGTCGCCGTCGCGGTGCGCGGGCGGCGCGCCGGCGGCGGCGGCCCCCGCCTCGCGCCGCAGCCGGTGTGCGTGTGTGCGTGCGTGCGTACGTACCGGCCTCGTGCGCGAAGTGCTGGCGCTCGGCGGGCGGCAGCGAGTCGTCGCTGGAGTCGCCGTCGCGGTGCGCGGGCGGCGCGCCGGCGGCGGCGGCCCCCGCCTCGCGCCGCAGCCGGTGTGCGTGTGTGTGTGCGTGCGTGCGTGCGTACGTACCGGCCTCGTGCGCGAAGTGCTGGCGCTCGGCGGGCGGCAGCGAGTCGTCGCTGGAGTCGCCGTCGCGGTGCGCGGGCGGCGCGCCGGCGGCGGCGGCCCCCGCCTCGCGCCGCAGCCGGTGTGCGTGTGTGCGTGCGTGCGTGCGTACCGGCCTCGTGCGCGAAGTGCTGGCGCTCGGCGGGCGGCAGCGAGTCGTCGCTGGAGTCGCCGTCGCGGTGCGCGGGCGGCGCGCCGGCGGCGGCGGCCCCCGCCTCGCGCCGCAGCCGGTGTGCGTGTGTGCGTGCGTGCGTGCGTACCGGCCTCGTGCGCGAAGTGCTGGCGCTCGGCGGGCGGCAGCGAGTCGTCGCTGGAGTCGCCGTCGCGGTGCGCGGGCGGCGCGCCGGCGGCGGCGGCCCCCGCCTCGCGCCGCAGCCGGTGTGCGTGTGTGCGTGCGTGCGTGCGTACCGGCCTCGTGCGCGAAGTGCTGGCGCTCGGCGGGCGGCAGCGAGTCGTCGCTGGAGTCGCCGTCGCGGTGCGCGGGCGGCGCGCCGGCGGCGGCGGCCCCCGCCTCGCGCCGCAGCCGGTGTGCGTGTGTGCGTGCGTGCGTGCGTACCGGCCTCGTGCGCGAAGTGCTGGCGCTCGGCGGGCGGCAGCGAGTCGTCGCTGGAGTCGCCGTCGCGGTGCGCGGGCGGCGCGCCGGCGGCGGCGGCCCCCGCCTCGCGCCGCAGCCGGCGCGCGCGCCGCCGCCCCTCGCGCTCCGCCGCGCGCCGCGTTTTCTCCTCGCTCTCCACGGGCTTGGCGGCTCCCGGACGCGCTGGCCAAATAATCAAACGTTTCTATATTACTCAATTTTTTTTTGTTGTATAAAGCCCCACGTATCCACACCAGGGGACATTTTGTCTCGCAACATGACACGACTAAATGCAGCAGAAACAACCGTTTTTGTTGTCATATCGATACGCTGTTCACGAAAGTACATCAATGACACTAGCTTTTGCAAACTTTGAAAGAGAATTACGGCTGCCTGCAGACCTGATTACCGGAATACCACCTGATGCCCCACGCAGTATAACCAATTATGCAAATGACTTGCGGAACAAAATGAATGACATTTATGAGCACGTCAAACAATCGGGCCAACAAATGTCTGAAAAGATAAAAATCCGGTATGACGCAGAATGAACAACAAAGAGTTCGTCGAAGGTTCACTAGTGTGGTTGCACAATCCAATTGGCAGCAAAGGGAAATCTCCTAAGCTTCAAGCTAAATGGGACGGACCGTACCGGATTGTGGCAAGGCTCAATGACGTAACCTACTGGATACAAAAAGGTACAAGAGGTACTCCTAAGATCGTCCATGTAGATCGACTGGCGCATTATTATGGGCCCGATAATGCTCGGGACGAGCATGTCTTACGAGGGGGCAGTGTTAAGTGCCACCATTAATGCTTAGTACATAGCAACACTGGTTACCACTAGCGCCCTCTAGTATCGAGTAGCAGAACTAGGAGACCATCTAGAATTTTCCATGGAACAACTTTCTAGAACTATCGACACCTAGTCAATCGGGAACGGTATATACTCGAACATTCTAGATGTAAAATGAAACTAATTTTTACGGATTATATCGCGTTTAATTTTAAGTTTTTTAATTCCCGACGTTTCGGGTGCTTTCCAGCACCCATGGTCACGCATTTTTAAACCACCTTAATTCCATAAACCCTAAAATACAATTCACAATGGAGTTAGAGGTTGTTTGCCTCTCTTCTTTAGCTTTCCTAGATGTTTTAGTCATCCGAAATCCTGATAACACTATTGGTCATACTGTGTACAGGAAAAAAAGACCCATACCAACCGATATTTAAATGATGAATCGCACCATCATCCTTCACAGTTAGCTACCGTGGGAAAATCTTTGTTTCAGAGAGCACGAGCGATCTGTGACAGAAAACATCTGGCCGGCGAGCTTCAGCACGTCGAGCAAGTACTGCAAGACAACAAGCTTCGGGTCCCGCGCCTACGTCACAGTGACCAAGTGAAGCCGGCCACAGTCGAGCGTGTGCCTGCTGTACTACCCTATGTCAGAGAAGTCACAGACAAGGTTGGCTATATCTTGAAGCGAGCTTCCATTAACCCTTTCGCTGTCTCGTGCACTACATATAGGTCATTGCTATTGTCTTACTATTGTGTCTGCAAACCGGACAGTGAAAGTGTTAATACATACTTCAAGCCGCCGAAGAAGATTGGTAAATTTTTACCATTCGTCAAGTGTCATATCCTTCTACAAGATGCAGGAGTGTACAAACTGGATTGTGAATGTGGTCACTCTTACATCATCATCATCATTATCATTACAGCCTTTCGTAAGTCCACTGCTGAACATAGGCCTCCCCCAAGGACAAACAAAATCTCTTACATAGGACAAACAAAATGATTTATAAAAACCCGCGTTAAAGAACATATAGCTGACGTGAAGCACCAACGTATCGGGAAGTCTGCAGTTTGTGAACATGTTCAAAATCGTCCCCGCCATTACATTAGATTTGATCGACCACAAATCCTCGCAAAAGAACACCGATTCCTAGCAAGGATGATTCGCGAGGCAATTGAAATTAAAGAAACATCCTAATTTCAATAGAGAAGATGGATGGGTGCTGCCATCTGCTTGAGATCCTATAATTAATAAAATTAAATCCAAACCCAAGTATACCACTGATACACTTCAAGATACTGTAAGCTCATTCTGCGTAAATCGAACCAAAAATTAATACTACTATTAATACTACTGAAGGTAAGCCGGGCTAACTATGACATCGGAACGTCAAACACCTCAGTCCCCCTGTGACCATGGGTGCTGGAAAGCACCCGAAACGTCGAGAATTAAAAAAGTTAAAATTAAACGCGATATAATCCGTAAAAATTAGTTTCATTTAATGTGTAGTCTTCGCGTAAATATAAGAAAACATTCTAGATGTTTCTTTAGTAGAAGGTTCCCTAAATTATCTTAGGTTCTATATAAGGCCGACATAAACCGCGACCCGATAGGTGTTGAGTTGGCGATACAAGCGAATAGTACTTCGAAGCGATACAACTGCAAACTAAAGTGATTAGTAGTACAATTGTGTTTTGTTATTAGTGTAGTTTTAAGTTGCAATCGTTGTAATTATTGTTCTGTAATTAAAGTGTCAATTTTGGCAATTAACTCAGCAGTTTTTAGTTGTCTCGAACCCCAAGCTCGTAACAATAATTTCCTACTTACCGGAGAGAGCCAATACGTCTTGTGCTTGATCGCGGACATCAGCCCGGCGTCGCTCCACGAGAAACTCGCAACGACGTCGATGCATCGCCAGTGCCCTTGCTTCTAATGCTTCTAGTTGCGGCATCTGGGCACAATATTTTACATTTCTTAGTCAATTTATTATAACACAAATTTGATATCACGAACGATTTAACAGTTGTTCCTAACAGTGTAAATAAATTTTTATTTGCAAATTTTATGCGGGTTTATTACATTTGCATTGGCCGGGGATTAAGAGATATTATCGATGCGTGTGTCAGTTGGTTCAGATGTTAATAACATCTTTTCACAAGATTGAATTTAGTAAGTTACAACACTAAAATCCCTTTACCGTTGCAGCTTATTAAAGTCCAATGCTGAGCATTGGTCTTCCCCATTGATTGCCTCATAGAATGATGTTTGCAATAGTTGCACGTGGGTTGGCAACCGCAGTTTTTATTTATAGTCGTTATTAGGAAGATGCTGTTTTTTTTTTTATAGAATGGGGGTGACAAACGTGCACACAGTCCACCTGATAGTAAGTGAATGCTGTGGCTGATAGACATCTAAATTAAGTTTCCGGTTCTATACACTCGCCATACGATTTGTTGTCCTCCGTCGCCTCTGACGACAACCACTGGATGATATGGGGTAGTCGATATTCTTACACCGCCATCCCGGTAAAAAACCTCTTTCAAAACTACTTAAAAAATTTCACTGTCATAAATGCCACGTCTACATGTAACATCTATACGTCCTTAAAAGAATTACCGGGTTATTTGTGACATATATTGTACAAGTCAATGAAGAATCATATAATTCTTTAAATTTGCATCCATAGTAGGAAGCAATTCAGGAAACTGGTGTTAACAAAATCGGGGGATACAGTTTGGAGTTGCAGCAACATATCTATTATCTACATCCAAAATTTTATTACACTATTCGATAGGTAGAGGATTAAAGAATTCATTATGTTGAGTTTTTTTTTAATAGGATAGGGTGACAAACGAGCACACAGTCCACCTGATGGTAAGTGGTTGCTGTGACCCATAGAAATCTACATTTAACCTTAATAAAGAAACAAAATGCGGATACGTCGTCACCCGTGAGGACTAAGATGGAATGCCTCTTTTCCAGTAAAATGGGTCTCCGGTTCTCTACACTCACCATATTCGTATGGTGAGTGTAGAGACTTGACACAGCAGTGTCAAGCTGCTATTTTACGCTGGTATTCTGTGAGAGCGTGGTCCTTCCCCGGTTGAGCCGACCCATTCGTGCTACAACTATACTACTAATATAGCTGCAGCATGGTTCTACCACGTATGAGTGAGGACTGTGACGCCGCTATTTTGAGGTAGTTTCGTTGCGTACATGTTAGAGTTAAAAGTTAAAGTTACAGCCTATATACATCCCATTACTGGCCACAGGCTTCCTCTCATTTCTGAGAGGGTTTTAGGGCAAGGAAAGGTCTGCCGCGATGCCCCAATGCGTATTGGCGAACTTCATAGGTCTTCGAAAATTTTAGCGTTAACCATTTGAGTTACCACGGCTCTACGTATACGTAAGTGGGCGGATCAACTTTTTTACCCACACTTAGGTGTCCCTAGCAGTCATTTTTACTTAAGGACTTATTCAAAAGCCAAAGTTTTATACAAAAAATCCTTGTCCCGAGACCATAGTCTCTCATGTGAATTCCAGATGAATTTTTTTTTATTTCTATAAAACCCTATCTTGAAATTAATTTTACAAAGAGACAAAACAATAAACTTTGCCATGATTAACCACTGATATTAAATAAACATAAAATGTTTGAACAAAAAAAACAATTAGGCCCGTCCCTCAATAAATTTCTTTTGCACGTGTATGCTGAGTTACCTAAAAAAAATTGCGTTAAAAGAACGCCTAGATGGTATGTCTTGCCGTTGCTAACTTCATTAAAGTCGTATCGTGTAACAACGGCGGGCAAAACTTTGATGTGTGCCGACAAGTCACTCAGTCTGCCTCGAACGCTCGCAGGAAGTGTTCGTACCTTTTTGCGCCGTCAACTGAGTTACCAGATTTTCTCATAAAATGTATGTAGTAACTTTTTAATAATAATATTACATAGTACTAACTGTAGTTATCGACCAAATCATATGCTACTTATTTTTTTTTTAGTTATAATAATATGTATTTTTGATCAAAGTACTTGAATTGTCTCCTCAGTTACCGGAATACTGAGTTACTTTGAAGATAACTCCATAGACATTGTTGGTAACTTCAGAGACATTCGCGTGCCGTCAAACACGTTGTGGCGTCAAACTAAAATCAATACATATTTTTATATATGATTCGTGTATTATTAATTCTTTTTCAATATATACTTCTCCTATTTCATTAGCACATTGTTTTCAATGACAATTATCCTAACTTAAATGTTAAGTACAAATGCGAAAGTGAGTGTTTGTTGGTAACAACCTATTAACACAAAAACTACTGATGGATTTGGATGAAATTCGACTCACAGTATACTGTGACCTAGATAAGGATATAAGATACTTTTATTTCGGTGAAAAATCGAAAGCAGAAGCTAGTTCTTATTAATTTGCATCTTTTATTTCTTATATTGCATTGAATAATTTCTTATAAACTGAAACTTAAAAACTGTATTTCTTTAACGTTTAACAGCAGCAGAAAAACAGAAGCGATATCGAGAAAGGCTAAAACAAAACCCTAAAAATATGAAGAAAGCAAAAGAAAACATAGAGAGCACTACCACAAAATAAAAAGATTAGCAAAAGATTTGTTGCCGAAAGAAAGGAAACAAGCCAATTTGATTTGGAAACTAAGACAAAGGGAATACAGGAAAAGAAGAAAGAATTTACAAAGTATTATAGATGTGACACTGCCAAGTTCTCCAATACCTAGAGTACAAGATATTCAAGAAATCCATCAAACACCACCTGTATCACCGGTTTCAAATGCATCTAGGGAGCGAGGACGAAAAAAAGTGAAGAAATATAAATCCAAAGTATATAGAGGAAACAAAAAATTGGAGGAGGGAAATAAAAAATTAAGGAGATTGTGTGAAAAATATAAGAAAAAACTAATGCGAAGTAAACAAAAAGAATTAAACACTAACGAGAAACCAGGAGACAACCAAAGTTATAATATTTTGACGAAGTTTATAAAAGATCGGTACAAGACGATAAGGAGTCTCAGCGAGAAAAGACTGCTTAAAAGTATTTTCAAGACTGGCCTTATTGAAACATATAAAAAGAAAGCAGAATTACTTAAAGAAACACTCGGAATACACAGAGAGTATCATAAAAAAGCAAAGACCAATCGTAGCATACTAATGCTACGGAAAAAAATTCCCCAATTTTTCGTGCGCGACGATGTGTCTTTTTTTCCAACTGTAGCTCTACAGTTGGAAAAAAAGAAACAATGACAAGAAACGAAAATAAAACGCAGAGAAGATACTTACTGGATACAATTAAAAAACTTCACATAGAATTTAAGAAAGAAAATCCAAACACACCATGCTCATATTATTATTTCACGAAGCATCGACCAGTTTATGTCATTGCTCCTTCCATTGATGCTAGGGAAACATGTATGTGTAAAACGCACGCAAACATGTCGTACATGGCTCAAAACAAGGTCTACTGAAAACAAGTGATTTGAATGTCATTATACGAAAGACAGTATGCAGCGATCGGTTAAAGGATTGTATGTACAATAAGTGTGAAAAATGCAAGAACCAGAAGACACGATCAAAAAAAAAATTGATCAAGAATGTAAAAGAGGAAAAAATTTAAGAAGTTGCACATCTAAGGCAAAAATTTGAGAAGGATATTATTTCTTTCAAAAAGCATATATACAATATCAAAATCCAATTTCACAACTTTCGCGAGTGTTTGAGTAATCTGCAACTCAATGAGTGCACTATCGTAGTCGACTTTAGTGAAAATTATAATTGTAAATATCACGAAGAGGTCCAATCTCATCATTTCGGAGGGTCTAGAAACCAAATAACTCTACATACTGTAATGGTTTACACTCACAACCAAGAAACACAACATGCAGCTAATTCCTTCTGCTCTGTTTCTGCCTCAAATTGTCATCAGCCTGCCGCCATCTGGAGCCACTTACAGCCGATTTTAGAATAGATAAGAAATTCACATGAAACTGTTGATACTATACATTTCTTCTCAGACGGACCATCGACTCAATATCGCCAAAAGCAAAACTTCTATCTGCTTTGCACAAAATATTTTGATTATGGGTTTACTGCAGCTACTTGGTCTTTCTATGAAGCCGGCCACGGTAAAGGCCCTGCATATGGAATTGGAGGGTTTTTAAAGCGTAAAGCTGATAAGTTGGTGGCTACAGGCGCAGATATTCCGAATGCATATGCGTTTTTCAAGCAACTTGAAAACACCAGTAAAATCAAGATGTTTTTGATAAAAGAGGAGGCTATCAAGAAATTGCAAGATGACCTGCCGAATAATATCCCACGTCTGATTGAAACATTGCAGGTTCATCAAGTATTTACAGATAAAAGAAATACCTTAAAATATAGAGAGTTTTACTGTTTTTGTAAATTTATAAAGAGAGGTTTTTGCAACTGCCTTAACCCCAAAACGTACCAAGTGAATTGTAATACTGCAAATGTTAACTCTGCTAAGCAAATCCTTGAACCAGAAAGACACGATCTTCAAGATCCGTCTGATGAAGACGTTCCTCTTGCCGTGCTCAAACAAATCCAAAATATACCATCCCAACGAAGTATTTATCGAGCTGTCTACGGATCTTCATCCGATAGTGATGAAGACGAGTCACAAATTGATAAGGAAAATCGTAAATCGATGGCTATAGATGATAAATTTTGTTTTCAAAGGGACCAATTAGCTTCCACTAGTTACGACAAAATTCCTCGACAGGTATCAATTGGTGATTTTTTACATGTTTATGTTTATGGCAGTAATAAAAAAAAGAATATTTATTCTTACGCTTGCAAGGCTTTGTCCTCTATAGAAGACGGTGAAATTAAAGTTATGTTTTTACGGGTAGTTGGTAATGATGCGAAGAAGTTCAGACAAGACAAGTGGGATATCAGCTACGTAAATTATGAAGATGTTATTAGTATCTTGCCGGTACCAAGTCTTCTGGAAGAAGATATGTACCAATTTCCTGTTTCTATTGATATATTTGAAAAGTAATTACTGTCGAGATTTGATCTCAAGATATTCATATAGATTGATTATTAATAGTAGAATATTTATCCTAAATGTGATATTATTTTGTTCCTTACTTATGATTGTTACTTACTTCAAAGTCATTATGTTTAAAAGTAATTAATTTTTTCAAGTTTTTTGATTTTATGTCTTAGGCGTTACCAAGTTTGTCTCTGAAGTTACTTTTTGTCCTTTAATTTAAATTTTTGTTTTTAAACGTAGCTATCTTCCTGCCTACATCAGAATCTACATTTTTATATCTTAATATACTGTTGATAAAAGGGCATCTGTAGAAAAGATTTTTTACGTTTATCTTATTACCTATTTAGATTTAATGAAAATTTGCGTGTTTTTTTGGATGTTGGTAACGCAAGATACAATTTATTGATTATTTTTAAGATAAAAACTAAACAATTTTTAAGACGGACTTTATTACAGCAATTAATTTTGCGTAAAAAAGTAAATAAAGGCTACAAATTATTTATATATTTGCTTTATTCAGACTATATCAATCACTATAATATATAGGTTACGTAGTAGAGTTTTTAGAGGGTGCTTATACATTTTCGCAAATTGTGGCCAAAATAATAAATGAACGTCGTGGCCCTTTGAAATATATAAAGTAGTTGATATTTCTAACACACTTTTCATGTCGGAATGTACATATTAAATATTTATTTCTCAAAAAAATATTTTGCCTGACCTCTTCAAAATGTGGTTCGAATAGTTGATTGACCCAAGTACGTAAAATACACGATCGTGTTCACGACAGAGCCACACCTTGATTTTTAACTCCCGACAAAAAAGAGGGGTGTTATATGATTTATGTTTAACGTGTGTATCTGTGTATCTGTGTGTGTCTGTCTGTTGCATCGTAACTCCTAAACGGATATACCGATTTAGATTTAATTTTTTTTTGTTTGAAAGGTGACTTGATCGAGAATGTTCTTAGCTATGATCAGCTCTTGTTTTGAGTGGTTTGTTTAAATGTTCAATTTAATATTATTTTTTTATTTGGCCGTGAGGCACAAGTACCTTCTCGTCCAGGCACTCGACGAGGTCGGTGATGTAGCCGCGGGCGGCCTGCGCGCGGCGGTAGGCGGCGGCCAGGCGCGGGCGGCGCGCGGCCCGCGCCTCGCGCACGCGCGCCGCGCGCAGCAGCCGCTCGCGCCACTCCTCGCGCTGCCGGGCCGTGCTGGCGCGCTCCTGCCGCAGCTCCTCCACCCTGACACACCAATGCTAACGTCACAACGCCTTTTGGCGGGAACTTGACCGCCGACTAATTACTGTATTTTTTTTTTGTATAATAAAACAAATGATGTTATTTATATAATATAAACGCTTCGATTGAGCGTTTTTGTAAAAAACCATTCGCTTTGTGCAACATATCGATACGATAGATTTCTTTTTTTGAAGTGAAACTTTTTATGGAAGGGCTTTGAAATTTTGATCCGCAACCTTTTTGTGTCAAAGAATGGTGGTAGTAAAAACTACGTACCCCGCGTTATTCAGGTCGATCATTCAAATCGCGTACGCAGGCCATTACGTACCATAAAATATATAGTAATTGTCCGCGCCAAACGCTAATTTCAAGAATTAACGCGAGAGGGCGCTCGGCGCGGTGCATTCATACCGGTTTGACATCGGCCGAGCGGTGGGTTGAGAACGCGTAAATGTATATTTTAGTGTAATTAGAGAAATTCCACGTGGCCATATTCTGGCCCCGTCCCTCTGCTGCTCGTCGATGGGATTACTCATGGGCCCTAATCCCGTCAGCCTTGGTTGGGGCAGCTAGGGGCGTGTACAGTAATACAATAATTACAAGATTATAACAGTTTTTCGTTCAAATACTAATACTAATTTTACGAATATTTAAGAAAGTTACCAAGGTACACGAATATATTTTAGAAAGAATGATCGCATTTGAATAATAGCGCCATGTACTACATTTTCTACGTAGCAGCATAATAGTTAATCAATTTTGATTCGACAAAATGACTACTTATTGAATAAAGTAGATGGCGATTTTAAAAAAATTAACAAGAGAAATAATTTTTGAAGCCCAATAAGGCAGAGCAGCGTTTATTTTAAATAACAACTTGTACAATTTTCATTTAAATACATCTTTGTTGACATTATATAAAACTTTTGTTTACTTAATTTAAAATTACATAAATAATAGATAATTACCTAATTAACAAACTAATGAAAATTATGTGTTACACTGAGATCTATAATAATAAACCTAGCAAGCTAACAGCATAGCAAAGTGGTGAAGCAATCAGCTTTGTAGCGGTTTCTAACGGTTGCCGTTGAGCAATCAGTTTCAAAATAGGAGGTTCAGATGCCTGGGTGATCAGAAATCGATTGCTGAAAACAGAACTTGAAAATTCGAAACCGTTCTCGAGATAATCGTGGGACAGACATCGTGAAATCAATAAGTGACTTCGCAAGCTTTGCCACTTAATACTTCATTCACTGTGATAAGTTCTAGTGTTGCCTAAACTAATAATTTCTCTTCTTAAGATCGAAGAAGATGATGCACTGTGACACATATGTATTTAATTTTATGTAAATAAATGAATGATACACACAATCTATGCTATTCAAAAGTCATCGATGAATAATTGAAATGTTGTGATACAAAAGTTTCACTTCTATCGTATGTCTTCACGACACACATTGTTTTTTTTAAGTTTTACCGCCTTACTAGGATTTTTCTCCTGCATCATGGGGGCAATTTACATACACAAATTGCACAAGGACACGCATCCAGACCAGGAACAATTACTTGTAGGCCATACAAATACTTGATCCGTGCGAGATTCGAACCCGCGGCCCTCAGCGCTGCAGCTCATTGCTAAGCCACCGCGCCACGGAGCCGTCTACACTACCGTTATATTATATGTAAACTATTTTTAGTTACGTTTTGATATATCAAACTCACGTTTGATAAATAATGGTTTGGAATGGATTTTGATACATTTGCCATTTGTACTCAGGATCACCACAGGTATCCTCAGTGATATTTGTAATAAAAGACATGGGCAGTCAATAAAGAAATTTTTAATATCATGACGTTATTCTTAGCTATATTTTATACGTAGTAGAGTCGTACTGCAGCTATATTAGTAGTATAGTTGTAGCACGAATGGGTCGACTCGATTGGGGAAGGACCACGTTCTATCAGAATACCAGCTTAATGCTGCTGTGTTTAGTATGGTGTGTAGAGAACCGGGGACCTTTTTTACTGGAAAAGAGGCATTCATTCTTAGTCCTCACGGGTGACAACGCATCTGCATTTTGATTAGCAAACGAGGATAAATGTAGATGTCTATGGGCCACAGCAACCACTTACTATCAGGTGGACTGTGTGCTCGTTTGTCACCCTATCCTATAAAAAAAATACTCTCCTCAGTTTACTTAGCCGAACATTATTCAAAATTAATATTAGATGGATTCATACCGTGTCTTAAGCGCATCCAGTAGTTCTTGAGCAGTGGAAGGCGGAGCTCTGCCGGGCCCGACTAATGAGCGTAAGTGCGCCGGCGCCTCTGTCAGACATGGCTGTGGCGGCGCCACCGCGAATGGGTTGAGCTCCACGTTGCCTTCGTCTGAAATATAATCGCTTAAATTCACATTCATCCATTACCAGATACGATTGAACAATTGGATTTATTATCAAAAATTATCCACCAAAATGCTGTGAGCTGGCAGCCAAAAAGTGAATCCATCACTTCATTTTAGCCTATTAATGACGTAGGCGGCAACCGTGCAATTTCTAAAAAGATCTTATTGACTTTGATAGATGCTGATATAAACATCCCATTAACGCCAGACCTAAAATACTGACCAGTGATGGAAAGCAGCGTCAAAAGGGCAAGGCGTCTGTCGATCGCGAATCCGCTTATTTATTCCTACAGACACTGTCGCCACTTCGGGCGTATACATTACATTTACACGTTATGTTGGCAAGGAAGACCAAATATTTAATTCAATTAACGGCGTTTTTATTATTATAATTATTATTATTGACAGCTCCGTGACGCAGTGGCTTAGCAATTAGTTGTTGCGCTGGTGGCCGCGGGTTCGAATCCCCCACGGAACAAGTATTTGTATCACCTATAAATAATTGTTCCTGGTCTGGGTGTTTGTCCTTGTGCAATTTATGTTTGTAAACTGCCTCCATGATACAGGAGAAAATCCTAGTGTGGGGGTAACGTATTTAAAAAATAAAAATAAATTAACATTCTAAACGTGGTAAAGGCATGCTGAAGCTATATTAATTGTATAATTAGGGTACGACCGGGAAAAGATCACACTCTCACAGAATACCAGCGTAAAATGCAGCTTAATCAGCAGCATTGTTTCGTATGGTGAGTGTAGAGAACCGGAGACCCTTTTTACTGGAAAAGAGGCATTTCATCTTAGTTCTCACGGCTAACACCCCATCTGCATTTTGATTCGCAAACGAGGAAAGATCTAGATGTCTATGGGCCACAGCAACCACTTACCATCAGGTGGAATGTGTGCTCGTTTGTCACCCTTATTATAAATAAAAAACATTGCTATATGTGCATCGTCATTAGTCTAGATTTTGGAGAACATTAATAGCAATTGAGTTGTAAAATGACGACATAATGAATAACCAATGATTCACTTTCGAAGTTTCTAGCAATTCTTAATTAAAATTATTGCACAATACTGGCTCATAAATTCAGTCACCTGTCATGATAAAACATATAGATATAAGGTTATTGCAACCGTACTTTATCTATTTACTGAGATTTCTAAGGATAAGAGACAATTTTACATTACTAGCTTTTGTCCGCGACTTCGTCCGCGTAGATATGATACTTTAAATCATAGGTGATCCATCAATGATCGCACTTTCATAGTAAATTCCATCACTCTTTTTAAGGATGATTTCCGTGATAAAAGCTATCCTATTTCCTTCCCTGGGACTCAAATCATCTCGATATCAAATTTCATCCAAATCGGTTCAGCAGTTTAAGTCTGAAGATGTACATTCATCCCGCGGCGATGAGTGATGTTTTCCCCAAACTCGCCTGCAGTACGCCAGACCGCGCTGCGCGCGCCGGACCGCACAGTTTTATAACTCCATTACTTTTAAAATATTTGACCAAATTACGTAGTTTAAAAGACAAAAGTTATCTACATTGAACATCAGAAGCGATTAAAGAATTTATTTTGATAAAATCATTTGTTACTGCAAAATGTGCATTGAAAATAAAGTATCAAATTTTATTTTATTTCTTTTGGTAATAATGGCTTACACATAAAACAGATATATACAGACGCGGACTTTTTTATAGAAATATTTAGGAGAAACAATTCCACCATACATTATATTTGTGTAACTCTTACAGTTTTTTCATCGCACGCCAAAATAGCTCGCAGTTAACAGATTTTTTCCAACTTACTTAACACTTATCGTTATATTTTGACCAATTTACACAATATCCTTATTAACCTTTGTGTTGTTCTGACGTATGAGCTATATTATTGTATAGTTTCATTAAAATACATTCAGTAGTTTTTGCGAAGAAGAGTAACAAACATCCATACATCCTCATAAACTTTTACGTTTATAATATTAGTAGGATAGCAGGATAGGATTAATAAATTCATTACATGTGATAAACATTACACAACACAAACATACAGATGTACCTTTCCAGGCAAAGCAATAGAGAAGAGAGAAAGGCAACGTGGTTCTTTAGAAAATATCTGTAGGACAATAGCAGGAATAATCCAATGGATCACCAGGTTAACAATGCAGCATGAGGGTTTGGTGTATCACCACCAACCATTGAGTTATATGTACTACGTACTAGAGAAGCCATTTCAAACAAAAACTGTGTCCTACTCTATGTTCTCGCGCATGCGCGGCAGTAGTAGTCGCGCATGCGCGAAGACTTTAATTTGATATAAAATAAGATATTAATATAAAATAAATATAAGAATTTAATATAAAATATCTTAATTTCATCTAAACAAACAGGTTATATTTCTAAATAAAATGTAATAATAATTATTTTATGGAATTCACAAATCTTCAATTTACGCAATATTTAGTTTGTAGGGATTGCACTACAGTTCAGTTGAACATAGTCAATGTTCGGAATGGCTTCTCTAGTACGTAGTGCATATAACTCAATGCCACCAACTCTCATGGTAGAGTTGTATTATTCTGTAAATCAGAAATGAATCGAAAGATTTGTTCAAGATTTGTTTTTCGTTATTATAAGTTTATAAGCCAGTGCTAAACTACAATCCCACCTGGTGGTAAGTGGTGATGAAGCCATGAAACAGGGTTGGCTGATTTAAATCAAACTGATTTATTTAATTTATTTTCATTGAATCACGATTTAAATCGCTTGATTTTGATTAAAAAAAATCATTGATTTAAATCATTTATAAATTAATGTAATAGGCAGAAAATGATATAAAACTGGCTTAGAATAAGGTAAAATCTTTTATTGTTTTATGTTATTCTTATTATTTTACTACAATAGTTTCATAAACTTTGGAAAATCAAGAAAGATGTAGCTATGAGGTCTGTCAGTCTTATAAACTTAGTAAAATCAACCAAATTTTTTTTTTTAGAAATTCACCCTTAAGATATGAACTGTAATTAATTCACTCTTAATCAGTCTCATACATTTATAAAGTTTTAAATTTTAATCCTACTATGTCAAGAAGTGTTACCAACTCGTGAATTTCAAAATAAAAAAATCAAAAAATTCAAAAAATACCAAAAACATCATGAGTTTTTTTTAAATTAGCATGATTTGATTAAAATTAAAAAAGTCATGATTTTTTCCATCCCTGCCATAAAATCCGTAAAAAAAATGTTGTTTCTATTAATCTCCAAATCTAAATTAGGATTAGACTTACAGAAATAATATATAAAGCTATTTTTAACTTTTATTTTTATGTTTTGTAAATCATCATCATCATTCATCATTACAGCCTTTCACAAGTCCACTGCTGAACATAGGCCTCCCCCAAAGAATGCCACAAAGCACGGTCCTGAGCCACCTGCATCCATCGACTTCCTGCATGTCTTACCAGGTCGTCACTCCATCTAGTGGGGGGGACGCCCTACACTTCGCCTACCGGTACGAGGCTGCCACTCGAGAACCTTTCTTCCCCATCGGTTGTCGGTTCTTCGAGCTATATGGCCGGCCCATTGCCACTTCAGCTTACTAATCCGTTGGGCTATGTCGGTTACTCCGGTTCTACTGCGGATATCCTCATTCCTAAGTTTATCACGCAGAGAAACTCCGAGCATAGCCCTCTCCATAGCTCGCTGAGCGACCTTGAGCTTCCTCATCCGGCCAGCAGTGAAGGACCACGTCTCAGTTCCGTATGTCATCACTGGCAACACGCACTGGGTGTACAGTCTCGTTTTCAAGGTTTGAGGTATACCTGACGAGAAGATGTGCCGTAATTTCCCGAACGCTGCCCAACCGAGTTGAATCCGTCGATTGACCTCTCGGTCGAAGTTGGACTTACCTAGTCGGACTATTTGTCCCAGGTAAACATACTCGTCAACAACTTCGAGCTTAGTGTTCCCAACAACTACCGGCATAGGTGTGACATGGACATTAAACATGATCTTAGTTTTGTCCATGTTCATCTTAAGACCTATCCGTTGGGAAACACTATTGAGGTCATTGAGCATAGTGCTTAGGTCCTCCAGCGATTCTGCCATAAGGACTATATCGTCGGCAAATCGAAGGTGAGTGATGTACTCGCCATTGATGTTGATACCGTATCCTTTTCAGTCCAGAAGCTTGAAAACGTCTTCCAATGCAGCGGTGAAGAGTTTCGGGGATATGACGTCACCCTGTCTTACACCTCTCTGCAATTGGATAGGTTTCGTACTCTGGTTCTGTACTCGGATAGCCATCGTAGCCCTACTGTACAAGCACTTCAACACTTCGATATACCGACAGTCAACTTGGCACCGCTGAAGGGACTGCAGCACAGCCCAAATTTCGACGGAATCAAAGGCTTTCTCATAGTCCACATACGCCAGACATAGTGGCAAATTGTACTCTTCGGACTTCTGTACAATTTGCCGAAGGGTATGTATGTGGTCTATGGTGCTAAAGCCCTTTCGGAAACCGGCTTGTTCGGGAGGCTGGAAGTCGTCAAGTCTGCGCGCGAGACGATTCGTAATGACTCTCGAAAACAGCACGTAGACGCGGCTCAGAAGGGAAATCGGTCTGTAGTTCTTTAAGAGGGCGTTGTCACCTTTCTTGAAGAACAAGACCACCACACTTCTGCTCCACGCCTCCGGTGTAATGCCACCGTGGAGGACGGAATTAAAGAGCTTCTGAAGGACTTCAAGTATCGGTTTTCCACCCGCTTTCAGAAGCTCCGCTGTAATTCCATCCTCGCCTGGGGCCTTACTGTTTTTAAGGTGCTGGAGAGCCATTCTAATCTCGCTCAGACTGACGTCCGGGATATCTTCGGAATAGTGTCGGATGAGACTCGCTCTAGGATCGTTACTCACACTTGCGTGTGGCTCCAACGATGACGTGTACAACTGCCCATAGAACCTCTCAATCTCACTCAAAATCTCAGGTGTCCCGGAAACGATGCTGCCACATTCTGTCTTCAGCTTTGACAGTTGGCTCTTTCTGGCAGACAGATCTCTGGCAAAGACTTTGGAGCCTTGGTTCCGCTCGATCGCTTCTTCAATACGAGCTGTATTGAAGTTGCGTAAGTCCCGCCGCATGCATTTGGAGATCTGTCTGTTCAGATGCCTGTATGCTGTCAAGTCTGTTGAAGAATGTAGCTTCATCTCCCGTCTAAGAGCCATGAGACTAAGAGTGTGATCGGAGAGTTTTTGTGTTCTTCTGCGGCGGGTCTTGCAGAACTTAGCTCCGACCGCATGGACAGTTTCCACGAGCTTGTCATTCATATCGTCCACTTCATTGCAGTCTTCTAGGCACTGAAAACGGTTTTGTAACTCGAGCAGAAAGGTTTCGGGACTTTGGATTAGAGCACGAGGGGGACGGAGCGTTGACTTCATTAGACGAGACCTCTCCAACTTAACGTTTAGGTTCAGTGTGCCTCTAACCATTCGGTGATCGCTACCAGTTTTCACCCTCGCGATCACGAGACATCACTGAACAGTTGTCGTCTGGTCGTCATAATGAAGTCAATCTCATTTTTTGTCGAACCGTCGGGGCTCGACCAGGTCCACTTCCTGTGGGGCCGCTTCTGGAAGAAAGAGTTCATCATAAAGAGTCCCTCTTTCTCCATGAAGTCGGCCAGCTGCTGGCCCCTTGGGTTCCGTTGCCCTATTCCAAATTTCCCTACTTTCAGCTCACCGTTCTCTCTTGTGCCTAGTTTTGCATTAAAGTCTCCCATTAACACCGTATATTGGGTTTTGGAGGAATGCATGGCTCTAGAGATATCCTCATACATTTCCTCCACCTCCTCATCGGGGTGTGCCGAGGTTGGTGCGTAAACCTGTATGACCTTCAGCGAATACCGTTTGGTGATTCTGAGTATAAGGTACGCAACCCTCGTCGACACACTCCCGATCTTTACAACGTTGTTAACGAGAGACTTGTGGACGATAAATCCGACACCTCCTTGGGACAGATGGTCGCCCTCCCGGTGATAGAGCAAGTTGCCGGATTCGAGGATTACCGTTTCCTCGCCCTCTCTTCGGACTTCGGATAATCCTATAATATGCCATCGCAACTTGTCTATCTCTTCTTCCAGCTCCACGATCTTCTCTTCAGTCCTCAGGGTGCGTGCGTTGTACGTTGCCAGGTCGAGTCGTCTAAGGTGGCAACCGAACCTCCACCGGAGATTCTTAGCATCCCCTGCCCCGCCGTTACCATGGTCGCCACCGTAGCCAGGAATAGCGGGGCCGCCGGGGACTGGGGGCCGTTTCTTTGTTACTGTCATTCATAGGGGGGTATTTGCCATAGTTGCCACGCTTGGCGAGCGGGTTGGCAACCGCAGTTTTTTTTTTATTGTTAGTTTGTTGTTATCAAGAAGATGCTACTGCCCATCTCCTGCCTGTTTCCCTTTGTCGCCTTTTACGACACCCACGGGAGGATATGGGGTAGTGGATATTCTTGACAGCCACTACACGGCACGGTTTTGTAAATAATAAAATATTATGTTACCTGTAATATCTGTGATAGCAGGCATTGCTTTCTGCATTTGCTGCTCTTCCCATTCATCAGCTTCACTGTCAAGCTCTTCTTCAGAGGCTGCCGCAGCTGTGCCGCCTATAAGCGTTTAGTAGTTGTTATATATCTTACTTTACAAACATCCTTGAAATTCAAAAAACTAAATAGTTCTACAGTTCTTCCATTTCACGAGGGAGCTTTTGTGGTTAGATGTGAACGTGCACGTTGTAAAAGTGTGCGAGCGAGCGATCAGTTGTAAGATTGCGTTCGCTTTATGATACGGACGCACACATTGACGCGTATGTAGGTACGTTTTTACCAAGAATAGAATAGAATAGAATAGAATAGAATGATTTTTATTCAATATGGATTATTACATAATACTTATTGAAAGTCATTATTTTATTTACCACTGGTTCGGAAAATACCTCCTGTCCTGGGAAGAACCAGCAAGAAACCCAGCGGGACTTTTTTTTTTAAACATAATTTCACTTAACAATAATTTTGATTATACAATTTTAAATGAATTTTCATAGAACCAGCATGGTGGCGATCACCTTATTCCCAGGGGTTATTTTCACTCATGTATTCCTTGATATTATAATAACCCTTTTTGTACAGTTTTTCTTTAATAAAACTTTTAAACTTGTTTATTGACAAACTTTGAACATGTTCTGGGATTCTGTTGTAAAAGCGTATACATTGCCCCATAAATGAATTACTAATTCTGTGGAGTCTTGTAAGTGGCATTACAAGCTTATGTTTGTTCCTAGTGTTTAAGGTATGAACATCCTTATTCTTATTAAAGCTATTTATGTTTTTATGTACATACATTACATTTTCATAAATATATTGCGATGCCAAAGTTAATATGTTTATTTCTTTAAATTTTTCTCTAAGGGACTCTTTACAATTTAGATTATAAATCGCCCGTACGGCTCTCTTTTGCAAAACAAATATAGCTTCAATATCAGTCGCATTACCCCATAGCAAAATTCCATAAGACATTACGCTATGAAAGTAACTAAAATACACTAACCTAGCTGTCTCAACATCTGTGAGACTTCTAATCTTTCTTACAGCATATGCTGCAGAACTAAGTCTGCTTGCTAATTTAGATATATGGGGGCCCCATTGAAGTTTCGCGTCAATAGTAATACCGAGAAAAACAGTGGTATCCACAAGACTCAACTCCTCCCCATTTAAGAGCACATTGGTTTTCGAATGTTTTACATTAGGTATTGTAAATTTAATACATTTTGTCTTGTTGCCGTTTAAGAGCAAATTGTTGGCGTTAAACCAATGTACTAGTTTCGATAGAGCATTATTTACATCGTCATATTTAATTGACTGCCATTTCAGTTTGAAAATTAAAGAGATATCGTCAGCAAATAATACTATATCGTGATTGTCCCCTACAAGATAAGGTAAGTCAAGAAGTTAAGGTCACGGGAGCTCGTGAATTACAAGAATTATAACCAGTAAGAATATTTGTCCTTTTAAACTCAGGATTTCAATATGGAAATTGATTAAAGTGATTACGTAAACATACCATATGATTATTTTTATTTTATTGTTGCTTCGTTCGATGAGTTAATAACAATTTTAATACACGGAATATCAAGATTTCTACAGGTGTTCAATTTATTCAAATTCGTTCCTCTACTATTTAGTCAAATAACAATCTGTAAAATGTCACTATTGATTGTCTGTTGTAGTTATCTATACCGTCAAATAAGTATCGTTCGTTTGTACGCGATGTAAATTGTGTAAAAAATAAAATTGTGATTTCATTTAAATTATTGATTAAAAAAACATTATTTCATGTTCGTTACCCCAAATATGTCACACTTCAATCGGCTAGGACGTAGGAGCAACATAATAGTAGGTATACTTACGTTTGGGCTTATCACTAGGTAATTCTAAGCCGCGAACTTGTATCCTGCCATCTTCGTCTTCATCATCACCAGAACCATCATCACGTATGAGCCGCGAGCCAGGAGTAGCTTCAGACTGTATCGGAACGAAATCGCCTAGCTCACGCGCCTGAAAGTCGTAGTTTGTATTAGAATACATTCACTTAATAAGAAATATTTAATCTTAATTAAATTATTGTATTATTTGCAACTGCAATCGCATGATAGAATAATATTTATAAATTTTCCCCATTTTGATGATGAAAACTTTAAGGAGGAAACAAATTCAAAGGAGAAAAATATAAAAGTGAAGATAAAGGATATACCTATTTTTATTTAAAATTAAAAAGAGTACCGCAAGGAGCCAATATTGGGCCTACTTTTTTTATTTTAGTCACATAAATCTTTTACTGTTTAATAAACATAGTGTTAGTTTTTTCAAGCATCTTTTCAATTCTTTATTTTAAAACATTACCTTTCAAAAGCCAATTTAGAAAAATTGAATAGTTCAGCACTGTTTCCTTTCGAAACTGTAGTTCTGGATCTAAAATTCTGACATGAGGACAAAGAACAATATCGACGTCGGTGACGGCCATCTCTTAGTCCCTCACCTCTCATACCTGCTGTCGAGTCTTGCGCGCCGCATGGATGAGCGCCGCGTCGGGGATGTGCCCCGGCTGCGCGAGCGCCGCGCGAACTGACTCCGCGCGGTATCGATGGAACCCCCTACTATCCTCGTCTTCTTCCTCCGCATCGTCATCCGAGATATCACCGGCCCCATCGGCGGCTAAAGCTTCACGGCCGGATAAAATAAGTCCCTCAAGTGTGACTTTTTTCTTTGATTTTTGCTTCTCTTCTGCATCTTCTGTCTCTGGCGTTTCCTAGATAAATATGGCGTGTTATATGGGCATTATATGGAATACAAACAGTTTAACTATTATATAATATATCTCTTATTATATTATGGAAGTTTACTAATCGTCTGCAATATAATATTTTAAATTTGTGATGTTTGAAGTTAAATAAATGAAAATTCGTTTTAGTGCAGTAGTTGTTCGGTTGTAGTTATTGGGGCATAATTTATAAAAACACATTCCCTGTTTACATAACGTAAACATTACCTCAGTTATGTTATTGTCATATTTGTTAATATCACCATCAGGGACACGACGTTTCTCCTTCTCCCGTCGTTTAGCAAGCCTCTTGCTTTGTGATGATTTCTTTACTTTGAAAACTTCTCCATCGTCTTCTGTTAACAAAAAAACAATATTAATATCAATTTACAAAATTAATTGTCTATGTTGTTGATACATACACACATCAACAGAATCTAGGGGATACCTTAATTCTAAATTATTTACGACTTTATAGTTTAAAATCTTTTTAGTTTCCATAAAGTTTATATACAGATTGAAACCTGCATTATTCTATTTTCAAAATTTAAAAATGTAAATTAAACAAAAACAAAAGAAGAAAATAAATACGGCGGCAAAATTGTTAGTAATTCGTTACATCAAGGAAATTTAAAACTGTTCTACTGATATTATTTAATAAAAAGGGATTAGATTGTTTTTCTTTTTTAATTTAACGTGCCATGTCAGCTTTAAGAGTCATGTCACGTCGTCATTTGAGTTGAGATGAAATGTTAGGGAGTCATGGGCATGTTAGAAAATGGTGCTATTCAACGCGTCGTTGCTGAGGACCTACACACCAGCCAAAACGTGATATCAAGGTTGTAGTCACGTCATCGCAGTACTGGGCACACGGGTAGATATCGTGTTACTATGCAGAGACAGGATCGATTTCTCCAAATGACCGCCAGAAGACAACCCAATATCACAGTGATGCAACTACTACAAAGGCTCCAGGAGGATCACCAGCTGTTGGTAAGCGACCAAACCGTGCGAAGGAGGTTGCTTGAAGCTGGTCTTCATGCTCTAAGACCGCTACGTGTTCCAGCATTGTGACGTGGCAATCGCGATCGGCGGCTCACGTGGGCTCGGGAGCATTTACCATGGAGTGACGAACAATGGTCTTTGGTGCTGTTCACTGATGAGTCCCGGTTTGGGTTTCATCTAGATTCACGAAGAACACGCATTTGGAAAACTCCAATGAGAGTAAGCCGTCTACGGCACCCTCAGGAGATCCACTCATACCAAGGCGGGACAATCATGGTGTGGGCAGGAATTCATCTTGACGGAAGAACCCAACTCGTTTGGACCCAAGGCAGTTGGGTCCAAACGAGTAGTTAGTTAGTAGTAGTAGTTTTTGTGCAGTCATGCTGACTGCACAAAAATATCACGAGAAGCTAGTAGAGCCTGTTGTTGTCCCACACAGAATCCAAATGGGCCAGGAATTTCTCTCATGCACGATAATGCTCCTTCCCATACGGCGCGGTTGGTGTCGGGCGCTCTCCGAGACCACGATATTTAAGTTTTGGATTGGCCTCCTCAGTCGCCCGATTTAAATCCTGTCGAGTATGCCTGGGACATATTACAACGAAAAGCTTTGAGAGATTTCCCGCTAAATTTAATGACGGTACAACAATTTTACGAACACTTGCAAAGAACATGGACCTCACACCGCGGCAAGACATTGACAAACAATCGATGTCGATGTGTAATTAATGTAAAAGGTGGCAACACTGATGATTAATAATTAGATTTTATAAAAGAAATTAAATTTTAATTAACATCACTAGTTTTATAAGAAGAATTTAAGTTTTTTTATGATATTTTCTATGGCGATTTAAAAAATTATCAATTTTATTTAAAACAAAAAAATTTCGAAACGTTTTTATTTTTCTTTTACTATATACGATAATTCTACATAGATTTTTAGATATTTGATGAAATATAAAATATCCCTAGATTCTGTTGGTGTGTTATGTGTTGTAGGAGTTGAATAAGGGAAATAACAAATAAGTGACAAAACGAATGGCACTACAATTCTCAATGGAAAACCTATGTCTACCAGTTTAATGTTTACAAACTCTCAACCATGAAGAAGTTGTTTACTAAGAGCAGGGTATTGTTTAGGGCTCTAAAGTGGTTAGAATATGTTGTATGGTAGCAATGCAGGTAGGTTCACACCTCTGAAGCAATTATGTATATTTTTTAGACTCAGTAGGAGCTACTCTTCAATTTTGGAACCTGGTATCTAGATTTTGAATGTTATAAGGTTTAAGTCATTTGCAGTAACTGATTTGTACCAGGTTAGCCGCTAGGTCCTTGGGGTGTTTTTGGAAGTGATCCTTGTATTTCCCGGCGTACAGAGCAACTTACTGCTTCACTGTTGTCATGTTGAGAACCTCGTGAATTTTTCTATTTGTCAGAAACCATGGTACACTGGCTATCTGTCGCAGTATAACGTTTTGCACTCGTTGCATGATTTTTATGCTGGTGTTACAAGCGCTCCCACAGAGTTTTATGCCATAAGTCCATATTGGCTTTAGGATGGTCTTATATATGAGTAGCTTATTATCCTTGGACAACACCGTATTACGAGTCATTAGCCAATTCATGTTTTTGTACCGCATATTAAGTTCATCCCTCTTGGTTTTTATGAGCTTCTTCCAAGTAAGTCTCCTGTCAAGATGCATACCGAGATATCGTACCGACTCGTTTTGTGGGAGCACACTGTTTTCAAGCGTCACTGGAGGGCAGTTCCATTTCCTCAAGGTAAAGGTGATGTGTACAGACTTGGATATGCTAGCTTTAATTCTCCATTTTTGCACCCAGTCATCCACATTGTTGAGGCTTTCTTGCAGAGTATTGGATGCCACAACGGAATCAGTACTGCTTGCCAGTAATGCAGTATCATCAGTAAAAGTGACTGTGGTGAAATTTTGAACGTCTGGGAGATCTGCCGAGCACAGTGTGTCTCCGAGGACTAGTCCAAGCGCAGATCCTTGAAGAACATCCGCTTCTATACCGTAGAACGCAGATGTTTCTTTTCGGAAAGGTAGGACCCATGAGTAGGTTAAAGCCGTGAGTAACTGTTGTTTTAATCTTACAGAGTAGCCCCTCAGACTTTGTCGAAGACCTGCTGGATGTCCAGGAAGGCAGCTGAACAGTATTCCTTGGACTCAAGGGATTTCCATTTTTGATTGTACTCTATGCACACACACAACAACACTCTACAATAGAACATATTGTAGTGTTGTTGTCTGAAGCCAAACTGATGTTTAGATATAGCTTGTTTTTCTACAAGGATGGGTGTTACTTTTCACAGCAGGATTTTATCGAATACTTTTGAGACTGTTACGAGGAGGCTTATCGGTCTGTAGGATGTAATTTCTTCTGCTGGCTTTCCAATCTTGTGGATCATTATTATGAGTGAAATTTTTCACAGCATGGGGTGGTATTAAACTCTAAGGAAACCATTAACCCACACCCTAACGCACACCCTAACTTTTTTTTGAATTCCTAATATTTTGTCATACATATATATTCTCTGCCGTAAATCATAATGATATGTTTTAGAAAAAGAACCTGGAAATCGTTGTTTTTCGAGAAAATCCCAAAAATCATGTGGCCAGTAAACTGGCCACTGAAAGTTCTACGTCACTAACCATCACTGCAAAATCACTGGCCAGTAAAGTGGACACTAACGAAATCTATATTATTTTTGTGAATGGATATAAAAAATACACTTCAATTATGTATTTCAATTAATAATAGAACATATTATACTTGACATAGAATAATCATTCGTCAATAACAAATATAGTTACACATTTATCTTAACTGAAACATAATTTTTAACTTTTCTTATCACAGTCAAACACACTTATAAATATTATCAACTGAATGATCACCTACGTTTTTTTAATTTTCCCTTCATTACGGAATGATACAAAGCATTCTACACATATGGCTACATTACATTGAACGTATTCATAGACACTTTTCTTTGGCTTTGACGCGGTACTGCATTATCTACATCTACGTAATTTTTTTCTTAGAAGATTTTATAAGCTTATGATCGCTCTCTTAATTTTTTTTTGTAAAGGAAGCAAAGGTATGAATTTAGATTAATTTTGGTTTATATATCCACGTAATTATTGAAGTTACTATCGTATAGGATAGTTAGTTCCTTGTACATCGGTAGATCTCGAAATCTATCAGAACTCCACTTATTTAGATCTTCATTTACTAAATTCTCTTGAGGACCTGCGTCTTCGGGAGAAATAAACTCGTAACACCTTGTCGGATTTGGCGATAGCGGCGATGGTGATAGCGACGCCCGTGGAGGTGGCGATGATGGGATAGATGGTGGTGGCAGAAACAAAACTTCTGTGGTGGTTGTGATGAAGATGATGTTCCAGGGCCTGATCCATTACTTCAACTACGTGTGCTCAGGATGCTGGTATTCAAAAAAAACTGTCGTCGAAACAATCATCAGCATCAGAATCACCACCGACGGTTGTGTAGCCTGGTCATCTGTTATATCCACAACCTCATTCTATCGATCCTCATCTAGTTACTTCAACTTCCGATAAGTGTATATGTGTCCAAAACAATGTAGAAACTACAATGCAAAACTACTATATAACAATTTTCGTAAGTGCCTCCATACCTGCAAAAACATGGCGAAAAAAAGCACAAAACATTCATAATAATAGGTTATAACTATCAAGCAAGGTTGTTTATGGTAAATTTATTATTATATTATATCAAATGCATATATACTAGTTATAAAATTATATGGTTTATAGATATTACTCGAAAACAAATACTCAATACAATAGCTCAAAGTAAGGTATGCAATTTTTAGGATATATTTTTTCAACATACCGGTTTGTAATCAATTGACAAAAATACATACTTTTCTTAATATTATCGATTACATTTGCACATAACATCAAAGTATATATTATAAAATAATAGTTTGACTTACTTTTTTAAAGAAGACATGTTTTTTTATTACTATAACACTTGTAAACATGTAACATATGCACGCAATGAGAGAAAATGTTCATGCGTGGGTGCACGGTGGCCAGTAGACAGGCCATCTTGAAAATGGGCGCGAATCTTTGATTGCGCGCGACGAACTTGAAAGCTGATCAGTCAACGGGCCAGTGTGCTCTAACGCGAGTCGTAAATGTTCATAAGATTCAATATTTAAATAAAAATCTATGAGATAACGACCTTGAAGTGACTGGCCAGTTTACTGGCCACTTTGTATGAGCCGTCCTATAAAGAGTTAAACAGGGTTGTAAGAAAAAAATATAAGAGTAAATAATTATCGTGAGACACCTTTCTTGAAGATAATATTTTCTATATTTGTAATATAAAAATACCTGAAATAAAGGCTTTAAATTTTGTTTATTTGTTTTACAGTATAGTTGTAAATATTATGTTGTAAATATTAATAATTGATGTTGTAAAATGATATAGTGTTTACAATTGTAGGCTACCGCCCGTGAACAACCACAATACCAGGAGAATTGCAGGTGTGAATTGCAGGCCTAAAAGGTGTTGTAGATAGCTTAAAATAATTATGGCTTCTGTTAACTTTGATATGAAAGCCCTAATATCAGCAACAGTAGGCTGAGGTGCAGCTAAAGCCATGGGCTTTTAATCCCATCACATAGGGTTGCCTCTTGCCCCCAATGCTCTTATTCTTTTATCCTTTTAAGTGGAATAGTAGAATATGTTGAACAGTAAGTAATAAATTTTAAATCTTATAGGGTCCCACATGAAGGGTACTTTACTGGGTGAGGTTTACATCAAGCTCCTCTATCATTTAAAATCGAGTGTAGGTTTTATTTATTCTTTTCAAGACGTACATACGTACGTACAAGAACATGTAGTTCTGCTGATAGTTTTGTATACAGGCTATATTAAAATTTTTATGAGTGATGAATTTTTAATACCAGTTTGAATTAGAAAACACAAGCTTTACTATTAGAAAGGTAAATATATTATGGCATAACATCAAAGTAACAAAACAACAAACTTACTCCTTTAGTATGCATAACCACAAAAATATGAGTGTGTTAAGGTTATATTTGTAAATAATTTTTAATTCTAAAATAAAATTTACCTTCATCGGCAAAACTTAAAAGTGGAGTATTTTTGATAGGTTTGTTTTCCTTTTTTTGACTGATGATTGGAGGTGGCGGTGGCTCCGGATCGCCGTCCTCGTCATCATCCGCGCAGAAAACGCGTCTCTGAATTTTCTTTGGTTTGCGAAACAACGACATTTTCACTTGACCGAACTTACAATATGAGCACTAGCAATTCACAAAAGAATCTTTATTTCATATTATTTATTAACGAACAGTAAAAACCAAAGCCTAAATACTAGAACAAGAAAGCTTCAACTTCAATCTCAAACTATCTTGATACCTTGATAGCTTGTCAAATGTCAATTGTCATTGTCAGTGTACTTCATAGACATATATACCTAAAGTTTTTTTTTAAGGAGAGGGGGCAAACGAGCATGCGGCTCACCTGATGGTAAGTGACTACCGCCGCCCATGAACAGCTGCAACACCAGGGGAATCGCAGATGCGTTGCTGGCCTTTTAAAAAGTAGGCTCTTTTCTTGAAAGTCCCTAAGTCGTATCGGTCCGGAGAAATCGCTGGTGGTAATCGATTCCACAAGGAAGTTGTGCGATCGAGAAAACTTCTTCTGAATCGCACAGTGGTGGACAGCCAATCATCCAGATGATGTGGATGGTATCGCGAGTTTTGTCGCGATGTGCGATGGTGAAATTGAGCGGCTGGAATTAGTCCGAACAATTCCTTAGAGCACTCCCCGTGGTAGATACGATAAAATACGTAAAGAGATGCAACATCTCTACGCAGTGCCAGTGAGTCAAGCCGATCGGAAAGAACTTGGTCGTCGACGATTCGAACCGCTCTGCGCTGGATGCGGTCAAGTGGAAGGAGCTGGCACTGGGGAGCCCCTGCCCAGAGATGGGAACAGTATTCCATGTGAGGCTGAACCTGCGCCTTGTAAAGTTGCAAGCGGTGTGCCTGCATGAAATACTGTCCCGCTCTGCTGAGCACGCCAAGCTTTTTAGAGGCCAATTTGGCCTTCTTTTCCAAATGACCACGAAACTGCACGTCACTCGATATGTTGACTCGATATGTTGAGGCCAGATTAGGAGTACCCTTAACCGACGAGCGTGTATGCGTAGATATATGGATGTAAAAGAGGCGAGAGAGGTGTGTCAGGATCGCGCCAAATGGAAGTCCGTAGTCTCTGCCTACCCCTCTGGGTGACAGGCGTGAGTGTTTATGTATGTATGTTATTGCAAACTGTAAAAAATATTAAAAAAAAAACTATAACTAGTAATTTAATTATCAAACAGTCCTACTCCCAGCAGTATCGTGCCAAGAACACTAGCTGCATTTCCTCGCTGAATTGCTATACTTAGACCTTGAGCGAGAAAAGAGCCAGCACTCTTATCACCAGCAGCAACGACAAGCCGTGGATGGAGTTCCTTTAGGAACTTCACCGCACGTGGACCCCACGAAACGATAGTCTCTACAGTAAATGGCACAAATATGTAGTCATCTCTCAGAGACTCATATTTACGCCACTTACTCAGTTCAGTTGCATCTGAAGCCGCCCCAGCTCTAAGCGAGGTACCCCTAAGATGAGAAGCTGACAAAGCGTCTACACAAGTAGCATCCCACACTAGGGCTTTACCTCTCTCCCAAGGGACCAATGTTATACCGTCGCGTCTCTTGCCATCGTCTCTAAATATTCCACAAGGCTTTAAAACCGAGAGAACATTTATAGAGACAAGAGGCCTTCGGATGACATCGTTCAAAGAACCGTGCCGTGAAAACAAACCAGCACTTTTCTTACATGAAAGTCCGTGGAGCCCAAACTTGTCGACGCTACTACTACAGGGGCACTGATGGGGTTGACAAATCGCCGCTTCTTGTCGGATTCTTACGGCGATGCGCAAGCTTTCCCCATCAAATAATGTGCCGAGATTAGTTGATGGTAAAGCGTGTAACTAGTGACTAGATTCCTTAGTCGAAACAGCTAAAAGACGTGCCTTATCTTGGTCACCATGGAAAATTATGAAACAAATCTCTCTGCACCTTCTGTACCAACGGAATATCCCACTGCTTTTGTTGATTAACTTCCAGTGGAACATTTTCGCCAGGACAGAGCGTTTGCCATGTATGCCCTGCCTCCGTAGCAAAGCACAGTTCTAATTTAGTATTTAAAATTATGTTACATAAATCACTGACACTATAATACTAATCACGTAAGCAAGGAAAGCTGACAATGCAACGCTAGAAAGATTTCTCACACCAATGTCACCAAATCTTATATGTAAAGTAACTTGAGTCCAGGCTATTTAAAGTTAAATTTAGAATTTCTTCTATAGCTATTTTAAGAGTATTATCAATATTTTTTAAAATATTCGAACATTTCCAGACTGCACTCGAGCGGAGTAAGTATGTAAATCTAGGTACAATTAGACAATATTTTAAAAAGTAAGAGCAATGTGGGAGTTTAATTTATAAAATTTCTCAACGTGGTTTAAAAACTGATCAAATATTGTTTTTAAAACAGTTTTAATACTATCGAAAAACAACGGGGCACCTAGCAGGTATAGTGATTCCGTACTGACATGAAATTATTAATTAAAGTGTTTTGAATTAAAGAGATGTAGATAAATTATAGGGAAAAAATATTTCACATTTATTGCTATTTGGTTCAAGACCAATATTTTGAAAATTTAGAAAAATATGAGGAAGATCACTGAGGACGTCATCTGCTCTACCCACGGAATATAAAAAACAAGAGGAAGTAGCAAAACACATACTTTGTACACTGTCGCCAAACTCAGACATGCACAAGAAATAAATGTGTATCAACAATTGTGTACCGTTTTAATAATTTTCGCGTGATTGGGTATTTAAAAATAAATGAGAAAGGCATTATGTTACTCACCATTCATTTGAGTATGAACAATAAGTCCTTAAGAATAGAGATTATATTCCTTTTCATCAACGATGTTTCTATAATTAATGAGCAAACTTAGCTTCTTAACGTTAGATATCGCAATAATAAATTCACGCTATTAGAGACATAAGCCAACAGATATAACGTTGCCATTGCCCTACTCATGCCCTAACTAACCTGTACTTCCACCTGAATGATGTTAGTGATGTAGTTACTCTGCCTGAACATGATCTGGCCTATATCGACGTTAAGTATAATGATTATTATCATGTATATGAATTGACTGAAGAAACTAAATTAAAAAAAAAACAACAATATATGATAAAATGAGTAAAATAGCAAAATTTTATGGAAATTGCTATAATGTACCACGTATATTCCTGTAATTCATATAGCCGGCATATAATTAATTATATTTAATGGAAATTTATTTACAATAAGCTAAATTATAGGGGCTCATTGTAGAAGCAAACACTATGTTTAATCACAAGAAAATCCTGTATGTATACTAGAGAAAGAAAGAATGAGAGAAGTATGATCGATTTGTTCCTGGTGGATGACCAACTGCGAAAACAGGTGATGGATACGCGAGTGTTCAGGGGTGCTGACCTGGGAACGGATCACTATCTAGTGATTACTAGATTTAGGGGTCTGTTCGCGAGTTGGCGCTACCGGACGGCAGTGACAGAACCACAGTCGGTCTGTCGCATCCTAAGCTGGAAGCTTCAGGAAGCGGATACTGTGGACAAATATCATGCGAGCGTAGCCGAAAAGCTAGACACCATCGATGGCAGAAAAGAATGTGTGGAAAGAACATGGCAGAACCTTAGGCATGGAATGGTAAGTGCAGCGGAAGAAATGGTAAGTGTGGAATGATAAAAAGAGGTAGTAGTAAAAGAAGAGATGCATGGTGGAATGATGAAGTGAAAGAAGTTGTAAAGAAGAAGAAGAAAGCATGGATAGACTACTTGGCCTCTATTAATGATAAGGATATGAGAGAGAAGATGAAAGAAAGATATAAGCTGCAGAAAGTTCATACGAAAATATTGATTGAGAAGTGCTTGAAATGTGTAGAATGGAAGCGGACGAAACGTTGTCGCACAACTTTAAGGAGAACTCCATACTCTTCTGGAAAGAGGTTAGAAGGACCCGAAGTGGTGCGACGGCCTTAAGAATGAACAAATTGCTTTCGAGAACCAATGACGTCCTCTCAGAAAAATCGGACGTCATGCAGCAATGGATCAAATTTTATAGAGAAATGTATGCGTCTGATGATCTTAGTGAGGGATCCGGGGGTGACGCCGTGACTGGTACGCCAGACCTGGACCTCGATGACACTGAGGTCATCAGTATGAAAGAGATTGAACGTGCGATTCGAAGTTTGAAATGTGGTAAGGCTGCGGGACTAGACAGAGTTACTGCTGAAATGGTCAAGTATGGTGGGCCTCACGTCTGCGACGGCTTTCATCTGCTGTGCAATTTGTGCTGGCGGACGGGGGATGTCCCGGATGATTGGCGATCCGCAGTCATTGTGCCTTTATATAAAGGTAAAGGTTTACATTTTGACTGCGGGTGCTATCGGGCGATCAGCTTGACCAGTTTAGCAAGTAAAGTTTACTCGAAGGTTTTGACACGTAGGATGCAAGAGAAATCGGAAATATTTCTATGGGAGGCACAATGCGGATTTAGACCTGGAAGAGGATGCACGGATCAGATGTTTTCTCTCCGCATGATCACGGAGAAGCTTCTGGCTGCTAACCAGAAGATTTTCTGTGCTTTTGTGGATCTTGAGAAAGCATTTGATAAGGTTGTAAGGAAGAAAATGTCGGAACTGTTGCCGGGGTATGGTGTGGAAGGTCGATTGCTAAGGGCTGTGCAGTCACTTTACTGTGACTGTAAAGCCTGTGTGCGGGTAGGGCATGACCTGTCACCCATGTTTAGCATCCAAACGGGCGTAAAACAGGGTTGTGTCATGTCTTCCTGGCTGTTCATACTGTATGGCGACAGCTGTTTACAGAAGCTGAAAGATAGCTGTTTGGGTGTGAAATTGGGTGACATTAAAGTAAATTGTCTGCTGTATGCTGATGATGCAGTGCTTATTGAACCATCAGAAGCAGAACTGCGGGCATTAGTCACGTGTATGAAAGAGGAATGTGAAATTAAAGGTCTCCGTTTGAATGCTAATAAAACTAAGATTCTGGTATTTGAAAGGGACGAAGAGACAACGAAGTGTGAAATATGGGTAAATCAGGAATGTCTAGAACAG